GTACATAAGATACTCACTTTCTTGAGAACCTCTTAGCACCAAACTATGAGTACATAAAAAAGTATAGATTTTCAGAGTGGTTTTTTTTTTTTTGGTAGATTTTCCAGCTTGAACTTTTAACTCTTATAGCACCTTAAGCTTCCAAAGAGTAAGGTATTATATATCATAGACTGTAAATAACTTTATTAATTTTTAATTTTATCCTAAACTCATTTATCTTCACTTTAAAATCTGCTAGTATAGTAATCTGCTTGTCTTCAAGTTCCTTGCTTCATTCTAAGTAATTTATAATAGCAAAATGCCATAATTAATTTGACTAATAATAAAGTTGCTTACATAAACACCAACAAAATGTTTTGTAAGAGTATGGCTGATATATTTAATGATTTAGTAACAAATTTCTGAGGTTCAGTTGTTTTTACATCTTTACCCTAAATTATAAATTATAAAATCCCTACCATAATTATTATGAGTTCATAACCATCACCATTACAATTTTTTTTCTTAAAAAAATCTCTATTTGCTTTAAGAAGTATCCTAGTCTGGATTTTTTAAATGGATACACACACAGACACACACACACACAAAAAAAAAAGAAAGAAAAAAAAAAAAAGGACTTTCATGATTTATTCTCAATTCTTCCCAGACTGAGATGCTAACTTTCAAAAAATGTGCTTCTCTTGGTCCTGAGAGGTAGTACAAAAGTTAAGGCCTATGTCTTGCACGTCACTGACACCAGTTCTATCCCTGACACTAGTTCTATGGCACCACCTATGTAGATAAGTAAGATCATTCATGTTTGCCCTGGTGACTTAACATGATGTCTTCTAGTTCCACCCAATTTACAGCCAACTGTATGATTGTCCTTCCCTGAAGCTGCATAGTATTCCTTTGTGTATTTACAACACACTTTTCACCATACACTTACCTGTCTTTGAACAGGTAGGTTGATTCCACAGCTTAGTTATTGTGCTAAGTGCTAAAATGCATAATGGTGTGCATATTTCCTTTTGAATGAATGTTTTCTGAAGGTGGATGTTCCAAAGTGAGATTGCTGTGTCATGTGGCAGTTCAATTCATATTTTTCTGGACACTCTTTCACTGTTGGTGGGAATGCCCACTAGTCCAGCCTTTCTGGAGAACAATATGGACAGTCCTACAAAAACTAGAAATTGAGCTTTCATATGACCCCTGCAATACCACTTCTGGGAATATATCCCGAGGATGCAAAAAAAGCACAGTAGAAATGACATCTGTACCTATATGTTCATTGCAGTACTGTTCACAATTGCCCAAATCTGGAAACAATCCAAGTGCCCTAGAACAGAGGACTGGTTAAAGAAAATTTGGTACATCTACACAGTGGAATACTATGCAGCTGTCAGGAGAGATGAAGTCATGAACTTTGCTTATAAATGGATAGATATGGAGAGTATCATGCTAAGTGAAATGAGTCAGAATGAGAGGGACAGACATAGAAGGACTGCACTCATTTGTGGAGTATGAAACAACATAACATGAGGCTGATACCTAAGGATAGTAGATACATGAGACAGATAGATTGCTCCATAGCTGGAAGCCTGCCTCATGAGCAAAGGGGAGAAGGCAGCTGGAATAGAGAAGGGATCACTAAGAAAAAGATGGCTGGAGGAATCGGTCGGGATGGGAGATGTGTGCAGAAAGTAGATAAAGGACCAAACATGAGAACCTTCCAGCGTCTGTATTACAAACTATAATGCCCCAAAGTAGAGAGAGAGTATGGGGAATCATGTCTTCCATGGAGGTAGGGGGAGGGTGGGAAAGGGGGGTTATACCGGGGATATAGGTGGTGGGGAATGTGCACTGGTGGAGGGATGGGTGTTTGGTCATTGTGTGATTGTAACCCAAACATGAAATCTTGTAACTATCTCATGATGATTTAATAAAATTAAAAAAAAATTCTTACTTTTCTGAGAAATATCCATGCTTTTTTCACATAAAGGTAGTACCAGACAACATTTCCACCAGCTGGGAATAATCATTCTTTTTTTTTTTTTCACCACATTCCTATCAACAGATTATTCCCAGTTAAAGAAAAAGTGTCATTCTCACTGGTATGAGATCGTGTCTCATTGTCTTTGTTTAGATTTCCCTGATAAGTGATGAGAACTTTTTCATATAACTATTGACCATCCATTATCTGCATAGAAGTGTCTATTTATTTCCTCTCCCTATTCGTGATGGGGTTTTGGACTTTGCGGGGTTGATCTTTGTATTTTATAATTTTGTGTATTCATATATATATTTGCTCGAGCGGGCCCAGTAACGTCTCCATTGGAGATTTTGTTGTTACTGTGTTTGGCATATATATATATGATGACATTAAAAATTTTAATATATATTAGAATATAACACCCCCGGAAGTAAAATTCTAGATCAAGACGTTGAGGTATTTATATTTTTAATTTTTTATTCCATATTCATAAACAACTCTGACCACAGAATAGTAAAGGGGTGTTATTGTGAGCTACAGAAGATATGGTCTGGTTGTTAATAGACTTCCCACAGAAATAGTTATCTCCTTGCTGGTCTTGACATCCTGGAATCCAAAGAGCTCTACAGCTTCCGAAATACCCGTGCCCTCTTTCATCCTGCCAAAAATCACCTGTTTGCTATCCAACCAATCAGTCCTGACAGTTCAGATGAAAAACTAGAAACTGTTTGTGTTGGGTCCAGCATTCGCCATGGACAAGAAGCTGGTGTACCCCTATGCTTTTGGGTGAAACTCTCATAAACTTTTCCCCATGCATGAACTTTCTTCCAGTGCTGTTATGGTGAGTCAAGTCCTCATCCTGACATATAAATCTCGAGATAATTCTGTGAAAGCAGAAACCTTTATAACCAAATCCTTTCTCCCCAGCACTCAGAGCATCAAATTTTTTTTTGCTGTCTTTGGAACTTTGTGTCAAACAGCTTGAAGGAGATGTGGCTCAAATGCTTGCCATCGGCAGCAATGTGATCCTTAAACTTAGAACATTCATTTTATACTTTTATGGGGAAGGTTAGGTCACACCTGGCTGCACTCAAGGATGGCTCTTCATGGGGCCAGGGATTGAACCTGGGCCGGGCGCATGCAAAGCAAGAGCCTCGATCCCTGTATTATCTGTGTGGTTACAAAAAGTGGGATAATTAGTGTACTCTGAAGAATGGTCAATTTCTAGGAGTTGTCTTGGTAAGATGTTGCTTACAAAATACTAACATTAGTAAAAGAGGACTGCTCTGCTCAAGTGTTGGCTTACTATTATTTGAAGTTACTGAAACAGTTCTATAATGTAAAATAATATATGCCATTAAGCTGCATGTACAATTTCTTAAAAAATGTCCAGTTCCAATAACCCTAGTTCTAAAATGCATCAATTACTACTACACATTTTGAGAGGATTTAAACTAATTCTGTGATCTATTTATTTACAAACACAGCAATGAATTTAATTTAATTGCCATGTACTGACATAACATATGGTATAAAATCAACTAGGTAAACACCAAAAATTTCCAGGCCAGCGCAGTAGTACAGTGGGTAGGGCATCTGCCTTGCATGTGTCATTCTGGGTTCGATCCCTGGCAGCCAGCTTACATGGTCCTGCAAGTATCATCAGGAGTAGTTCCTGAGTGCAGAGCCAGGATTAACCCCTGAGCATTGCCAGGTGTGCCCCCTGAAAATTTCCTAAGTCTGGAGGTTATTACTTTTTCAAAGATATCAATATGCATAAATGTATAAAAACAATGTACAAAGTTTCCTGATTCAAGTACATTTATTTTAAGATAACAAGAATGTAAGACAGGCTGCATTACAATTACAATTTATAAGAAGAACAATAAATGAAGTGAAGCTAAACAAATTAATATAAAATAACTGGAAAGTACCACAGACCTTTCATTCATGCAGATTCTGTGAAGAGGATATCACAACTTTGTCTAATTCATCTTTTCAAAGACTAGTTTGTAGAAGGAAATATTGAGAAAAGCACACATGTATATTGCTATTTTCAAATGACTTAAATTTTCATTTGATGTAAACAACAATCCAGTGGAACACATTTGTCTCTCATTTTATAGATGATAACATTAAAGAGTGAAAATATATATTTATTTATTACTTTTTACTTAGTTGATCAGGATACTTTATTTATTCCCATATTCATATTATGTATACTGCAGTTCTTTTGTATAAGCAAAGGATCATCATTATTTCCTTGAATAAGCAAAAATTAAAGGAGATTATATATGGAGCCTTCCTTAAGAGACTGTCAGAGGTAAAGTTTTAATCATCTAAATTATTTTGTAATCTATATCCAAATTATATTAGATGATATGAATACACTATTGTAGCACAAAGAATTTTTCATGTGTGCGAGATAATATACAGTCAAAGATAATAGTAACTTACAATTTTCAATTATTTTAGATAGCAAATGATAAATACTGACAACAATTAGAGTTAAAATATACCTGAGGCAGCTCATATGAACATTAAGAATTTTCTTTTAGTCAATTAAATCAATCTTCAAAGCAGGCAAAATAAAATTATTATCCTATATTGATTTGCTCAAGCGGGCCCAGTAACGTCTCCATTGGAGACTTTGTTGTTACTGTGTCTGGCATATCGAATACGTCACGGGGAGCTTGCCAGGCTCTGCTGTGCGGGCGAGATACTCTCGGTAGCTTGCCGGGCTCTCCGAGAGGGGCGGAGGAATCGAACTCGGGTCGGCCATGTTGGCCGCTTGTAAGGTGAACGCCCTACCCGCTGTGCTATCGCTCCAGCCCTGGAGCTCCAAGCGGCCAACATGGCCGACCCGAGTTCGATTCCTCCGCCCCTCTCGGAGAGCCCGGCAAGCTACCGAGAGTATTCGATATGCCAGACACAGTAACAACAAAGTCTCCAATGGAGACGTTACTGGGCCCGCTCGAGCAAATCGACGATCAACGGGAGGGCCTTTACCTTTACCTTATCCTATATTGAGTTCTCAAATTAATAACTCATTTATTTATATATCAGTGTAATAAATAATAGTAGATAAAGAATGTAAAAAGTTGGCTAATACAGTAAATGATAACATTTTCATTTTCTTAGAAAGACTGTTACTTTTATAAATAGACTGATGTTGAACTAACAATTTCACATTTAATAACTTACAAAAAATTTGTACTTCCTAGTTTCATATGCAAAGCAAAAAAATAGTTGGAGTGTTTGCAATACATGAAATACATCCCAGAAAAAGAAAATAAAGGACTATATTCCATATACAGTGTAGAAATATATTATTTTAAAAATTTTCTTATTATATTTTGTTTAGTATCTTCTATAAATTTTACTTTTAAAATTGAAGAGGTTTCCAATAAGTACTATCAAGTTATTTTCTCCAAGTGAATATTTAATTTTGTTGTTTGTCAACAGAAAAACGTTCTTTCCTCTTTTAAGACATTTTGAAACAATTATATTCAAATTTATTCAGTATTACTGGCACGTCACTTTTGTATGATGTGGTCCTTTTAGAAGAAATAAATTGCTTTTATCTAAATATTTCTATGTATCAGTCTTCTATCTAAGCCACTTTACATTAGTCTTATGTAGTACTTCATTTAATGCTAAAAACATAATGTACTAACAATATGCAATAAGTTATAGGACTGCAACTAGTGTTACTACATGTACCGTCTGCAATCAGGAGCAGCATCATGTTTAAGACCACTATAACAGTAACTACTGCTACAACCACCAGTTGCTACATCAATATTTTACATTTTTGAGAAAAAAAATCTGTTTTAATTTTTTTACTGTATAAATAAAACAATTATCAGACATTCTTCTGACTTTGGTAAATGAACAAAAAGTTAAAAAAAACTTTCTATAATTCAAACAGTGCATATTAAGTACTTTTGCAAGTTAAAAGTACAACGTAAACCATATATTAGAATAGTTATGTTTCTATTTGTCTTTTAAAAATTATTTCAATGTAAATTAAAAATCTAGCAAGTAATGGAGATTTACTAACAATTCTAAGGATCCTAAGTTAAATCTCAAGGAAAATTCATTTTCTGCAAATAAATTCACAGTTCAAAACCAAAGAAAATGTCCTGTTCATTTTTACATGATCTACATTCTAGAGGTCATACATTATTTTGAAAGGAAGCAAATTGCTAATAAATTAAAAAACAAAACATTTTTGTATAGTTCATAGGAAGTATCTATATACTTCTGAAGGGAATGAAGAAGTGCAGAGTCCAATAAATGAAGGGAAAAGCTCAGCTTGGTAACATAAAAGATTTGTAGTCTGTAAGAAGACGTATATGTATATATTCTCTATTCAAGAAAGCTATAGTTTCCATAGTATTTCACCTTTTCCTTCATTTCTACATGTTCTGATCTCAGAACTGCTGCTGCTTTCTTAAATTTTTGCTTCTTGTTTTTGCCACGTAGATAATCATTTAAACTTTGCAGTAGGAGTACCTAATCCAAAATATAAAAGCAACACGTATTTATTAATCATATACTATGTAAATATAAAAAAGGCACATAAAAACCAGAAATGAAAAATATCAAAGCCTAATCACAACACACTTTCCTTTAATTTAAAAGTTCAATATTTTGTTTTGTAGCTTGTCTAATCCTTGAACTCATAAAAGTCGCACAGAATTAATGATGTCTGTCACAAGTTGGGGCTGGGGCGATAGCACAGCGGGTAGGGTGTCTGCCTTGCACACGGCCAACCAGGCTGACCTGAGTTCGATTCCTCCGCCCCTCTCGGAGAGCCCGGCAAGCTACCGAGAGTATCTCGCAAGCCTGGCAAGCTACCTGTGACGTGTTCAATATGCCAAACACAGTAACAACAAGTCTCACAATGGAGGTATTACAGGGCCTGCTTGAGCAAATCGATGAACAATGGGAGGACAGTGACAGTGACAGTGTTACAAGTTGATTGGAGATACTCTATGTTTAAATTCTTTTATTTATGTGGAGGGAAGGGAGTTGGGCTACATCCCATAGTGCTCAGATCTTACTCCTGGTTCTGTGCTCAGGGCACACTTCTGATGGTGCTCCTCGGAGGACAATCTGTGGTGTGAGAATGAACCTGGGTTTGGCCACTTGCCAGGCAAGTGCCTTACCTGCTACTATCTCTTCAACCCCCTACTTTAAGTTCTTACAGGACTGTATAAAGTCCCTTAAAAACAGATTAGGAAGGTTTCACTTCCTTTGTTACCTCAATCACAAGTTGCTACCTTAGATAAATAATAAACTTACTTGCCCCTAAAAATTTTAGAGCATTTCCCAAAATCGGTTAAACATTACGCTTCAAAGCAACTTTGAAACAATACACATTTCTTCCATCTTTCCTCCTTTTCTTTCTCTCCATTCTTTTTCTTTAGAGACCTGTGAATATTGGCATATTAATATATTTACCTATTAAGATATAATACTGGCATCATATCTTACTGGCATTATAGTCACTGTCACTGTCGTCCCGTCGTTCATCGATTTGCTGGGGCGGGCACCAGTAACATCTCCATTGTGAGACTTGTTACTGTTTTTGGTATATCGAATATGCCACGGGGAGCTTGCCAGGTTTTGCCATGCAGGACTGGCATAGTAATATATAATATTACCATATATTATATATACATATATCTCCTCATATTAGAGAGAAAGGAACTATATAACCTTGTTTATCATGATATTTCTGAAATTTATTTAGCCAAGCAACTTTTCTCTCAGAGTATAAACTGGTGGCCTATGGAACCTCTAAGGAAATGCTGCGGTAGACAAATATGTTTTAGGATTGATAAAACCCAGACTCATCAAACTTTTATAGCTTCAGCTAACTTTTATTTATTTTTATTATTTATTTATTTATTTATGTTTTTGCTTTTTGGGTCACACCTGGTGATGCACAGGGGTTACTCCTGGCTCATGCACTCAGGAATTACTCCTGGTAGTGCTCAGAGGACCATATGGGATGCTGTGAATTGAACCTGGGTCAGCCACATGCAAGGCAAACACCCTACCTGCTGTGCTATCGCATCAGCTCCTCAGCTAACGTTTTTTTTAATCTTCCTTTTTTTAAATAACTTTATTTATTGAGTCACCGTGAGAGCAGTTACAAAGCTTTCAGGTTTAAGTCTCGGCCATACAATGGTCAAACACCCATCCCTTCACCAGTGCACATTTTCCACCACCCAAAACCCCAGTATACCTCCCATCCCACACCCTCCCCCTACCTGTATGGCAGATGATTTCCACATTATTGTCTCTCTACTTTGATTACATTCAATATTTCGACAGCAGACCCACCATTATTATGTGGGATTTTACCCCAACACTCACATCTGCCAAAAAGGCAACATTAGACAATTTGTTTTCTATTGCTTCTCAGCTAACTTTTAAACTAATAAAAAAGCTACTCTTTCTTTCCCCCAGTTTTATTTTATTTTTATTAGTGAAACACCATGAGGTACAGTTGTAGACTTACAAACTTCCGTGCTTGGGTTTCAATTATACAATGATCGAGTACCCATCCCTCCACCAGTGGTGATGGGGGTTGGGAGGGATACTGGGATCCGTGGTGGTGGGAAATGGGCACTGGTGGAGGGATGGGTATTTGATCATTGTATAACTGAAGCCCAAGCACAAAAATTTGTAAGTCTATAACTGTACCTCATGATGTCCCACTAATAAAAATTTAAAAAAAAACTGCATTCTATGGCAAAACCTTAACCTTTTGCCATTAGACAGAATGAAGGACAAATAGTAGCTTCCTACGTATTAGGAAATTGTCTTGGAAAACTAACTCAGCCTACATAATTTTTCTGTTATTAAATTATATATTGATCTATAAGGATTAAAAGAGACACATATGTGGAAAACACCCAGTATAGTGGCAGGCACCTAAAATAGTTCTAAAACAACGAGCTGCTGCTATTACAGCAGATGTTTGCCACCATGACCCAAGTAACAAATGTTCTTGTGATAATACTGCACGGTAGCACTATCCTCCCGTTGTTCATTGATTTGCTCGAGCGGGCACCAGTAACATCTCCACTGTGAAACCTGTTGTTACTGTTTTTGGCATATTGAATACGTCATGGATAGCTTGCGAGGCTTTGCCATGCAGATAGAATACTTTCGGTAGTTTGCTGAGCTCAAAAAATCCCATTCTGGAATCATGATATTTTATTTTCTGAGAAATAACTGCAAGTTTGAGGATAAACAATATACTCCAAAAGAATTTACTAGATGAATATTTATTATGGTTCATTTTTAGATGACAAATTAGTAGTGGAATACAAATGTTTCAGTATAAGGTTTAATTTGGGGGGGCAGGGGGTTGGGATGACACCCTGTGGTGCTCACCTGCTGTACCCCTTGTTGCCCTAGTGACTGTACTATCACTCTCTGGCCTCTAATTATTTTTTTATATAGGAGTACTGCTATTTCTTCAGCCACTGATTAGGCTGATTGAACTGGGCATGAACTCAACCTTACATTTTTTTTCCATTTTTTAATAATTTTATTTAATGAATCACCGTTAGAGCAGTTACAAAGCTTTTGAGCTTAAGTCTAGCTCAAACAGTGAAACACCCGTACCTTCACCAGTGCCCACTATGGACCACCAAAAACCCCAGTATACCCCATTCCACACCTTCCCCCTCCCTATGGGGCAGATGATTTCCAAATTACTCTCTCTATACTTTGAGTACATTCAACATTTTGACACCACACCCACCATTATTATTTGGGATTTTACCCCAACACTCAGATCTGCTGAAAAGACAACAGTAGACAATTTGTTTTCTATTACTGCTTATGATATAACATATGATGTCTCATGGCTGCAGTAGTGGCCGTGTGATTTTGAAATTCCGAAATTTCAACAATTACATCTGGAGAGATTTCTTGCCAAAACCTGCTGGGTTCCAAGATTTGTTCCTGAGTCTCTGAGATCATGATCATTACGCAGGTTGATCAGGAGCCAGAGAGGCCGTTCGTGGGTGGTGACTCACTATCTCATTGGGTGGGAAGGAAAGGGCCAGCTCCACCCCCATCCCATGAGGTCCCCATCACTGCGGGCCCAAACCTGACTGTCCAATGGCCTCTGGCGGATAGCAGCCACCGAGCCGCCAAGGGGGAGTAGGTGGAGGGACAGCACCCTTTCCACCCTGGGGTGGCCCAACAACAGTAACCTACTGGCGGTCCGGACGCATTTCTGCCAAAAGCTGCTGGGTTTCAAGATTTCTTTCTGAGTCTCTGGGACCATGGCCGTTAAGCAGCTTGATCAGGAGCCAGAGAGGCCATTCGTGGGTGGCGACTCAGGGTCTTGTTGGGATGAGGAAGAAAGGGCTGGCTCCACCAACATCCCGTGAGGCCCCGTGTGTCTCGCCACTGAGGGCCCAAACCTGACTGTCCAGTGGCCTCTGAAGGATGGCGGCCACTGGGCCACCAGGGGAACAGGCCAAGGCACAAAACCTATTCCCACCTAGGGTGGAACAGTGCCGGTAATCTACTGCAGGGACCGGATGCATTTCTGCCAAAAGCCGTTGGGTTTTGAGATTTGTTTCTGAGTTTCTGGGATCATGGCCGTTAAGTAGCTTGATAAGGAGCCAGAGAGGCCATTTGTGGGCGGCGACTCTAAATTATTTTTTAATGTCTATTTTTGGAGGAGACTTGGGGCTCACCCAGAACTGCTCGAGGGCTTACTCTTGGCATTGTCTCTCAGGGATCACTCCTGGTGGTTGCTTAAAGGACTATATGCCATGCTGGGGATTAACTCAGGGTTGGTTGCATGTAAGGCAAGAGCCTTAAATTCTGTTCTATTAGCTCCAGTCAAAATGTTTAATTCTTATATTGAATTATTGATATAAAATGAAATAATTATGGCTAAATCTTACATTGGATTAAGCCATTAAATATAGATTAAATATAAATTCTATTTCTTTCAACTATTTACTATCACAACAGAAATATCAATCAATAATTCATAAAGAAATTTAGACACAGAAGTTAACATACTTATCTGCTATGGAGTTCCTTCTTCAGGCAGGATTTGAAAGTGGGATACTTCTGAACTGTTTTATAACCCTGTGAAACACAGATTGAAAGTATGAGAGATGTGAATAGAATGTTGTGGGGACATAGGTATGCAACAGATACATAATTAAAGCAAAAATAAAAACACCTGGTAATGACACCATGTTAGAGGCTTACCTTATATTCCCTTTAACTTTGTCTTTCTACTCGAACATTTTTGAGAAAAAAAAATTACTGCCAGTTATATCGCTAAGGATTTCTGTGCTATCTCAAAGGTTAGTTAACAACTAACCACTAGGTGGCAGTTAAATACACAGTATCTTCATTCAAATAACCTAGATTTAAAAATCCTTAAAAAACCAGAGGGATGGACAAAATGGGCTGAGCACATGCTTGAATCCCGGAGGGCTGGTTCAGTTCCTGGACCAACATAGTTATTCTCTGGAACATTCAACAATCCCAGCACAGACTCGGCACTAAGCCCTGAGCACTATTGGGTGATGCTCCCTCATCCCATCCCCTCTCTGCTCCCAATATTTGCTGACACTGTAGCACTGTCCTCCCGTTGTTCACCGATTTGTTCGAGCGGGCCCAGTAATGTCTCCATTGTGAGACTTGTAGTTACTGTGTTTGGCATATTGAATACCTCACGGGTAACTTGCCAGGCTTTGCCATGGGGGCGAAATACTCTAGGTGGTTTGCCAGGCTCTCTGAGAGGGGCGGAGGAATAGAACCCGGTTCGGCTGGGCCGGCAGCTTGCAAGGCAAACGCCCTACCACTGTGCTATCGCTCCAGCCCAAGGACGTAATTATGAGAATGTGGAGCAAAATGGACTCTGCAAAATGAGTGTCATTTTGTTTACATGAACTAAAAAAAAATAAACAAATAAAATCTTAAACACATTGTCTAATCTGAGTCTTGAACCATGTAAATCTTTCTTCTAAATTTAGGCACTGTGTCTTTCAGTGCTCTAATCTGGTGGGTGGGGTGTACAATATTCCAGCCCCACACCAACTTCGGGAGTGCCGGCATGCCTCCACCAATGAGCCTTGCCTCTCTCCCATTTGCTCCACCCACTCCCTGTTGGCAAACTCAGTCCTGCAAACTCTCACAGGGGATGCTTTAATCCACTGACTGTTTTAATCCCCTTACTATGCTTTTTATGTTCTGCAGAGGGAGATCTTTCCATATTTGTCCCTTTCCTTCTGAGTGACTTCACTCAGCATGATACCCTTTAGGTTCATGTGTGCAGCAGAATACTGCATCATTTTATTTTTTCTTATTGCTAACCGGTACTCCATTGTGTGATATGCCATAGTTTTGAGTTTTTTTATCCTCTCAATTGTTCATGGACACTTGGGTTGTTTCCAGATCTTGGCTGCTGTGAATAATGTTGCAATAACCATAGGAATGCAAATGCTATTTTGAAATACTGTTTTTTTTGGGGGGGGGGATCTTGAGGCAAATGCCACGAAAAGATATTGTTTAGTCATACAGAAGCTAAATTCTTAATAATTTTAATTACTTTTGAGGTTTGGGTACACCTAGAAGATTTTGAAGCTGATTTCTGACTTTGTGCTAAGGGATTACATCTGGCAGTGCTCAGGGGATCATGTGTGATGTTGGGGATCAAATTGGATTTGGGTGCATGCATTACTAGTGTCTTAATCCCTGTACTATCTCTCTCTGGTTCTGAATTCTGAATTTTGTAGTAAGTCTTCATGCTGTTGTCCAGAGAGTCTGATAAAGTGACTTCCCTTGCAACAGTGAAGGAGGGTTTCTTTTCCCCACGTTTCTGACAGTACTAGATGTTTCTACTCTTTTTGGTGTATCCCAATCTTAATGGTGTGATGTACTCTGTGTTGTTTTGATTTGTATTTTCCTGTACTTAGTGATGAAGCGTCATTTTAAAATAAACCCATTGGCCATCTCTGTGTCTCCTTTATGTCAGTGTCTGTTAAGTTCCTCTCCTATTAAATTATTTTAAATTAAGTTTTGTGAGTACTTTATAAACTGTGGCTATTATCTCTTTTCAGAAGAGTGGTGAGCAAATATTTCCTCCCAATCAGGAGGGTGTGTTTTTATTTTAGCCATTATTTTTTTCAGAGTGCAGAAGTTTGATTTGATAATTTCCCATTTGCTTTTTTTTTGCTCTTTACCAATGACATTGAGTCCCTGAAGATACCGCTAGCATCATGTAGAGTTTTGCTTATGCTTTCCTTGATGTATCTTATTGATTTGGACCTAATATCAAGTCTTTAATCCATTTTGAGATAACTTTTGTGTACCGCTGAACAGGGATTCAGATTTATTTTTTTGGCATGTGGCTAACCATTTTTCCCAATTCTGTTTGTTAAAGAGACTTTCCTTCCCCACTTCATACCTCCAGCTCCTTTGTCCAAGATGAGCTGTCCATATATACAAAGATCTGTCACTGAGCTTTCACTTCTATTCCACTGATCTGAGCCTACCTTTATTGTAGTACCACACTGTCTTGATCACTACAGCTTGATGCGAGTATTCTTTATAAAGGAAGACTAAAATCACTTTTATTTTTTACCTTCCATTTGTGGTACATTCACAAATATGTGAGGTGAATAAACATTTATAGATTAACGTTACTTTATTTATTTACTTATTTATTTATTGCTTTTTTGGGGTCACACCCGGTGATGCACAGGAGTTACTCCTGGTTCACGCACTCGGGAATCACTCCTGGTGGTGCTCGGGGGACCACACGGGATGCTGGGAATTGAACCTGGGTCGGCCGTGTGCAAGGCAAATGCCCTACCTGCTGTGCTATTGCTCCAGCCCCTAATGTTACATTAAAAAAGAATTTCTGGGGAAAGAAACACATAAATTATAGTAATTACCTTTCTGTATAACATGTTAATGGGAAAAATAGTTCAACGGGCCAAAAAAAGGTCTTTTTCAGTTTACTTAATTTTCCACAGAAAAAGCAGTGAATATGCAGTGGCTAAAAAGCTTCAAATCACCTAGTTAAAATATGTGTTCTAGAAAGTGAGAAATAGTAACACTAGTGTGTAGACTGCGTAAATATATTTGGGAATATTTTCAACAAATTGGGATGAACAAATTCAAGTAACTGAATATCCAAGTAAGTGATTAAAATGTACAGATTTTAACTTACTTAATTTGGGGAGTTCCTTCCGAGCACTGTGCAAGAGGTTCTGGGAGGCCGTCCCAGGTGATATTCAGCCTGGTTGTTTAAATCACTCTTCAGTGCTCGGTGGGGTCTGGCCATGCAGCGATTTTACGACCAGTGTAATGAGTCCCATGAGTATGACACACCCCTGGCAGTGCTTGGGGGCACCAGGGACATATCAGATGGAGATCTGGTGCACAGCATGTTGTTTTAGGGACTGGAACTAAATATAATGTATATTTTGATATACATTATATTATATTTCAATATGCATATATCGAAATATATGTTATATAGATTTTTTTCCAAATGTGGTCCTGAGAACATGATGCTGCTCACATAATTTTCGCAGATTACCCAGACCATCCCAGTGGTGCTGGATGTTGGGGGGCTCCAGGGATATACCTGCTGATGCTTCTGGAAGCATGTCGTGCCAGGGATTAAACTGGGATTGGTCACATCTGAGGCAAGAGCCTTAACCCTTGTGCTATTTCTTTAGCCCCTGATACTATATTTTAAAGAAAGCATTATCTTATCATCTCAACTGTTTCTTGAAAGCAAGAAAGGCCTTTTGCTTTACACATACAGCATTTTACATTTGTAGCCTTTTAAAGGGCTGGAGCGATAGCACAACGGGTAGAGCATTTGCCTTGCATGCAGCCAACATGGCCGACCGGAGTTCGATTCCTGCACCCCTCTCGGAGAGCCCGGCAAGCTATCGAGAGTGTCTCGCCCGCATGGCAGAGCCTGGCAAGCTCCCAGTGAAGCTCCCCATGACATATTCAATATGCCAAAAACAGTACAACAAGTCTCACAATTTACTGTGCAATGTTATTGGTGCCCGCTCGAGCAAATCGATGAACAACAGGACAGTGCTACAGTGCTATAACCTTTTAAAAAGTTAATAGTTTCTGAAGCTTAGATACAGTTTTTTTCTTTCAGACTTTAAAAAGGATATCAATACACTTGAAATTTATAGATTTACCCGGAATCCTCTATGGAGTCTGTCTTTCATAATTCCAATAAATTCTTTATAACTTAATTGATCATCTTTGTCAACGTCAAAAATCTTGAAGACTGTGTTCACTAAATGTGGTGAAAGTTTGAGGCCAGTAGCTACATAGACGGCACGTTTAAATTCATCTAGATAAATGTTACAGAAAAGGAGTAGGCTGTTAATGTTATTTTTATAGTGTGTTAATTACTAGAAAGGTTATAAAAATTTAGTCCTGTACATAGGTCGTGATCTTATATAATACATAACTTTCAATTAATCATTCTATCTTTCAGTTAACAAAATCCCCCTGTGGTTTTAACTAAAAGGGTCATGAAGTAGATATATCTTAGGTTAATAATGCAGTCACCAAAAAAATATTACACAGAATGTCCCATAAAGTGCCATGAGGAAGTGGAAAGGAGCGATTACTTCTGCCTGTGATATAGAGAGGGAAAGGAGAGACACAGGCAATGGTTAGGAAAGGTTGCAACTTGGATGTAGAGCTGAGCCCTAAAGGATAGACGGTTTCAGCTGGGAGAGCAGAGAGAAATGGCATATGTGGTGATATGAGAGAAGAAAAAGGAAATGGGGAGGCAGGTGGGAAAGCATAATGTATGCTCAGAAAGCAACTGGGGATTTCATGGGATATACAGGAAATGGAGAAGTTCTGCGAAAGGACTTGGAGGCAAGCAAGCTGCACAGTCTTCAACAAGAATTAGGAGACTGACGAGCTTTCCTTACAGGTGTGAGACAGGTCGTTTTTGTTTTAGAAAGAGAATTTTTGAATTATCTAGGAAACAACAGCGATGTAAACAAATGGCAGGAATACTACTACACTGAATCTTTTAGAACAGTAATAATCTGATTAAGGAGGTAATAGTAGCAACAGAAATTATATAGCTATATTCCTGGCTCATACAAGATTACACAATTCTTTTTTTCCCCCATGTCCAGTTCTTTAAACCAGAAGAGAAACTTTTATTCTAAACAAGGTATCATCTTAAACAAGATACTTTTTTTTGTCTTTTTCAAGTTACTTAGTAGGTTTACCCGGGCAGTAATGGAGGGCTACTGAAAGTTTTGGTAGCACTGGGTTGGTTTTAATTGGGGTGACTTATTTAAATATCTAAACTGGACACAGGGTTAAATAAAAAAAAGTTTCAGGGCTGCAGTGATAGTACAGAAGGTAAGGTCTTGTATAGGCCTGACTCAGTTTGATCTCTGGCGTTCCAAATGGTTACGGAGCCTGTTAGGAGTGATTTCCGAATGTTGACCACTGACGGTTGAGGGCACCTGGCCTCCCCTGGCCCCTTGGTCAACCTCCCACCATAAAAAAGAAGTCATGTTATTTTATAACGAATAAATGAAGCTGTATGAGGCATTCGTATGTTTTGGAGAAAGAATTAACATTGAAAATAAGAGCTAACTTTGAATTCTCCATAGACCTTGGTATATACAGGAATGAGCTTGTCCACTAAGACTTAAGTTTGTGAATTAGCTCTTACTAGATTATATTAGGCACAGGTAAAATCTTAAAGATATAAACAGAAAGTCCTCGCAGGCAAGCTTATTAAAAAGGGATTTGGCATGTTAAAAAAGGGAAAGTGCTCAGAGCCATAGAACTCCAGATAAAGGACTTGTTAGTCTACCGATGGGGAACAGATGAGTTGGTCCTGAGGACAACAGCATACTGAAAATTGCATTTCTTTTTAACTAGGAAAAATTAATTCAGTTTTATTGACTGTTCTTAAAATTCTATTTAGGCATAGCTTAGAGGTGGCTCTGCTGACAATATTTAGGATTCTGAGTCAGTGAGGACAGTGAGTAAAGTTAGTATTGCGTCATCCCATCATAATGTCTAGGGCGAGGCAGTTGGCTCACTAATGGCGGGCGTACCCTTTTGTGTTATTAAGCAGCCAGACAGTTATTCCTCTTTGAACCTTTACACATATCAGCTTTCCCCAAAAGTATGAAATAAAGGGTAACCACCAATTTAACACCAACAATTAGCATTCGCTCTCCAATGTTGCTTAAAGAAAACAGTTTTTTTTTTTTTTTTTTTTTTTTTGCTTTTTGGGTCACACCCGGCGGTGTTCAGCGGTTACTCCTGGCTTTGCACTCAGGAATCACTCCTGGCGGTGCTCGGGGGGACCATATGGGATGCTGGAAATCGAACCCGGGTCGGCCGCGTGCAAGGCAAACACCCTACCCACTGTGCTATTGCTCGAGCCCAAACAGATTTTCTATTGTTAGTATTTATCAAACTTTCAGATAACCTGAGAGCTAATATGATAGGTCTAATTATTTTGCCAAACGCCCCAGACATAACGGAAGATTATTTTTTACTTTAAATTTTGGAAAGATTACTTACCTTGCCCTATAGAACGACTTGCAAAGTTATACATATTCAAGGCTATTGCAAAGTCTTCTAAGTTGTTCAAAAACTGGAAAAATGACCTGAATTCATCAAATGTGATACCCTATATTAGAAAAATATTTGTAAATATATTTAGAATTGACAAATTTATTTTTAAAAGCATAAGTATCCTCATGTACTAGATATAAAAAATCTGTAATACATCCTATAAATAAACATTCTGAGGGTACATTAGTTTTGAAATAATCTTTTTCCAAATAGAATAAAAACCTTAAATCAGATTTATTTCCACCATATTACTACAACAGCAATAATAAATGAAAACATTTTAAAAACAGTCATATCATAATTGCATAAAGTTTCTCCAGAAGGTATAATAAAAAAGAATTTAAAAATTCCAATTTTAAATCTCTGTATTTCAGACCTAAGTTTCTTAATCCCTAATAGAAAATGTAACTATTAGGGAAAAAAAGAGAAATATTTAAAAAAAAATCCCAAAAATGTTTTCACTGTACATGTACTCATTGATGTTATTTGGCATTAGATGATTAATTTCTTAATAATGACAATGTAAAAATCAAGATACTGAGGAAGTTTGACAGTGGTGCATTTTTACTGGATCCAGACAAAGGTTGCCAGAATAGTAGGAACTGCATACTTAGAGACTGGGGAGTACCAGTACAGAATCTCCTATGGATACAGGTCACAGAAAGGACTGGAACATCATTTACATCAATCGCAATACCTGCTAAGTTATTCCATCAAATGGAGAATTATTTGACATGAGCACAATGTATCTTAGATAATATGAATTTAGACAAAGATTTATTTAATGTGTTTTCCAGAAAAATTAATGTAATTCGGGAAGTAAACCACATAAAGGGGCAGTAGCTAAGTTTAGTTCTGACTTTACAATGGTGGTATATAGGGAAGGAAAGCAGGCACCACTGAAAAGCTGGGGGAGATCCAGAGTCTATTTTCATCTAAGCCAATATCTGATTAACATTAAGAAGACAGCATCAATTTATCAAACCGGTATCAATTATTTTAGATAGTATTTACACTTCAATTACAACCAATGCTACTTGAAACTGAAAACTGCGCTTCCCCCTCCCCCCACCATCCACAACACACACACACACACACACACACACACACACACACACACACACACACTTTTTCTTCTTTCTTTTTCTCTAGATGCATTTATAATCCTGGATTCTACTGCGTGACATGTTCCCACCTGCCATGCTTCCCGGAAATGATAGTTTGAATCAATTATGGAGACTGATACTACAAGGTTTTATCTTGATCTGGAGAACTTGTTGCCAAGGAAACTGGTCACTGCTCTGGCTTTGTACCAGTTTCTGCTGTGACCAGCTGCTACAGCAACATTCTATCTCAGGTGACAGGTTTGTGCTGGTAAAAATGAAAAATAGGAGGATGGCACATTTTTAGGCCAAGAGTGTACAAAAATGTCAGTATTTATAGGGAGCTTAAAATTAATAACCAAATAAGAGAACAAAAGAATATAATATTCAACATATGACTTTTTAGATTTTTCAAAATGGGGTTATTATGTTTGGAGATATAGGTCAAATTCAAAATTATAATTATTTTATTCTAGATAAAATCCTTTGAGTTTGGAAATAAGGGACTATAAATTAAAAAACTAGGCATTCATTTTGATGGCGATAAAAGAAATCATTCTTAACAGCAATGAGGACAGAAATTGTGAGGGAGTGACAAAGAGAAGGAAGTGGCTGTTTCTTTCCTCCGCATTTTGAGAATTGAATGAAATGTGGCATAAATATTATAAGAGGAAGTAACTTGTATTTCAACAAACATAAAAAGAGGACAATAACTTAAAAAATTAAAGCATAAAATTTAAGGTACTGAGATCCCAAAATCACTCCAAATATCTATGATCGGTAAGAGTTCCAAGCCCACTTATTTGAGAATGAGTAAGTCCTTTATTAAATGATGCAGGAATATTCACATGAAAAAAAGAAGCTAGACTTTTCTGGCATCCTCTTATAAAAATTAACTCCACTAAGACTGACCGAAGAAGAAAGGGACAAACTGAATGGACTGATCACAAGTATGGAAACTCAAGCAGTCATAAAAATTCTCAAACACAAGAACCCTCAAACACAAGGGCCAGATATCATAACCATGAATTTGACTGAACCTTCAAGGATGACCAAATACCCATTCTTCTAAATTCTTTTAGAATAGTGGAAAGGAATCCTTTTAAAATTATTATATGAGACCAACTTTAATCTGAAACCAAAACCTGACAAGGATATTCACATACATAAAAAATGACAGATCAGTATCTCTGCTAAGGGTTAAAAATTCATCAAAACACTAAATTAGATTAAAAGAATCATATGTCAAGACAAAGTGGAATTTTATCCAAATATGCAAGGATGGTTTGAAATATGCAAATTAATCAATGTAAAAAATTAAATAACCTAAAATGTTCCGAGAATATCACTAGCTGCTGAGACAGCATTTGATATGATTTAGTACACATTTATGCTAAAATTCTGAATAAAATGGGGTAGATGGAATATATTTCAATATAATAAAGGTCAGATACTATAAACCCATAGTTGCTATCACTCAGTAGTAAAAAACAAAGCTTTAAAAAAATCAGAAACCTCTTCTAATTAACAGTATCAAAGTTCTTAGCCAGAAAAATTAAAGACATTAAGAATAAGTAGAGGAATCTAAATTGGAAATGAGTGAAACTATCACTTTTTGTAATATATACATAAGTGTATATATGTATATACACACACACACATAGGAAGCCCTAAAGGCTTAACTAAGTACAGAAAAGTGTCTGGCTATTACACAAATTTGTGAAACTCTGTTATATCTGTACATATAAATAACAGATAAAAATGATACAAAAAGATAAAATAATTAAGAAAAATTACCACTTATATATGTGACCAAAAGAATGCACTACAAAGGATGAATTTAGCTAAGGAGATGAAAGAGCTATACAACAAAAACTACATGATATTGTTAAAATTAGATATTAGGAGATGGAAAATTTAGGGAACAATGATATACTCAAAATATCAATTTTACCAAAAGATAAATATCTATATTTTAATCAACTCAACTAAAGCTACATTGATTTTTAAAAGAAAATCAAACGAACTACTAAGGTTTATAGAGACTCATAAAACAACTCAAAGAGTAAAGAGTCTTGAAGAGGAATAAAAAAAGAAAAAAGGTGGCATCATATTATCTGAATTCAAAAAATATAAACAAAGTGATAATAAAAAATTAAATGGTATTAGAATAAAAATAAATACACAGTTAACAAAAGAAAATTAAAAGTTGAGAAAAAACAAACCCATGTATTGGCATTTAATTTATGGCAAAGAAACTATGGGCTATAATGGAGAAAGGAAATCTCTTCAACAAGAATCAAAATCCTAGACGCAAGATACCAAACCTTAAAGTATATAGAAAATAACTTAAGTGAAACATTCCATGACACCTGCATTAGAGATGTCTTTGAGGACTTGACTGCAATGACAAGTGAATGAAAGCAAAGATAAACAATAAGAACTACATTAAATTGAAAAATCTTTAAACAGTAAAAGAAAATAAATAGAATGAATAGGACAAAAAAGATATCTGTACAGTATGGATCTAAAAGGGGTTAATATCAAAAGCACATAAAAACCTTATACAATATAAAAGTAAAATCAAATTATTTTTAAAAATGTAAAGGATATTTGAATAGATACTTCTTCAGAGACAACATATAGATTGCCAACAGGTATATGAAAAGGTATTCAATGTCATTTATTAGTAGAGAAGCATTTATCAAAACCATAATGAAATACTACCTCATATGAGTGAAAAGAGTTTGCATCAAAATAAACAAGTGATGGGGCTGGAGCGATAGTACAGGGGGTAGGGTGTTTGTCTGGGTTCATCCCCGGCGACCCCTACACACTGCCAGGAATAATTCCTGAATGCAGAGCCAGGAGTAACCCCTGAGCACTGCTGGGTGTGACCCAAAAAGAAAAAAAAAAGTGTTCTTAAAAATGTGAAGAAAGTGGAAATCCCATGTACTATTGGTGAAAGTATAAATTAGCAAAACCGTTTTCAAAAACAGAATGGGAATTTCTTAAGTAGCTATGTTTACCCATCTCTATGTCTATACTTTAGAGCATCCATAATATTTGGCAATTTCACTTCTAGATATCTATCTTCATGAAGAAGATAAAAACATTCTTACTAAAAGTCACATATGCTCCAGTGTTTTTTGCAAAGACAAAGAAACAACCAAAGTATATGTCAGATAATTGAATAAAGAAGATGTAATATAAATGCACAAATAAGTACTTTTCAGACATACACAATGAGATCTTTAGTCACATGCATTTAAACAGAAAGAAATCAAAGGATCATTCAAAGCAAAATAAATCAAAAGGAAAAAGATAAGTATTAGATGTTTTACCTATTATGTAATATAAGATTACAATTATATAATAGGCTATATATTATCTATTATAATAGATTTTATATAAGGTAAGAAATGTCGGCATCACTGAGAAATAATAGCGAGCCATGAAAATATCTGAGAACATCATGGCCAATGAAAAGAAAGTATATGTTAAAACAATGAGACAAACGATTGTCTTTTATCTGAGATACAGTGAAGAAGTCAGCATGGCCGGAGGTTAAAAATGGGACAGATAGAACTGTAGGAAATAAGTTCAGAGTTAGTGATGAGGGTGTGTGTCTATCCTTCAAGGTCAATGTAAGGTTATTTGGCTTTTACTTTGAGAAAAATGGAGTTATGGATCATGACAGTAAAGCATTTGCTTAAAGGACAAACGAAGAAGAGTAGACTACAGGCAGACAGGGTAGGAGGCAACTGAAATAATCCAAGTAAAGGTAGCCATGCATATGGTAAGAAAGGGTCAGATTCTGATGACATTTCACACAGAATCTGAAAGAAGCAAATCCTACAATTGGATTAAGAGCTAAGAAAAATGGAGCTTATTAACTAAAACAGAGGAAAGCTATAGGTAAAACAAGTGTTTTAAGATCAGTTTAGTTTCACAGTTATTAAGCCTGAGATGTATATTGGATACCATTTGGAGAAGCTGTATAGGCAAGTCTAAAATTACAGAGGGAAATTTAATCTGGAGACACAACCGGTATCCCTATACATTAGTGACTATTCAAAGAAGTGTGGACTGCTAGATTTACTCCTCTGTCTACAGAATTTTTTCACTTAAATATATCACGCGTGTCCAAAATAAAACTAGATTCTCTCAGGGCCAGGGTGATAGTAGGTGAGGAGCTTGTCTTGTATGTGGCTGACCCGGCACCCTACAGGGTCCCCTGAGCCTATCACCAACCTGAGCACCTCCTTGGTTTGGTCCCTAAACCAAAAAACAATCAACACCTTCCTCCACCAGGAAGCATCCCACAATACGAACCAACAAGAGATTCCCTCCTAACTCCAAACTTAAGAGTCATGCTTAGCTCAGAAAATTGCACCACTGGTTCACCTTAGGTTTGGACTGAAACCACAGGAGTTTTTCATTATTTTTCTTCATTTGCACTAAAATTAAAGCCCAGAAACAAGTTCTTTCAGCTATACATTTAAAATGATACATTATCTGACCATTTTACCCTATTTTGACCCTGGCCCATGTCTTACTCATCTCTTACAATCACTCCACTAAGAATTCCCTAACTGATCTTTCAATATGGGGGCAGTTAAAAGTCTATTCTGTGTATAGCAACCAAGATAATCTTTTGAAATATAAATCTCACCAAATCTGGCATACACACTGTCATAGAAGACAGCAAGCATTTTCTAAATAAGCACTTAATGAATGAACAAATAGAAAACATGTTCTCTAAAACAAGATTGGACAACTTTTCTCATAAAGGGCCAGAGAGTAAATGTTTCTATTTCTGTGATCTGTACAGTTTGTGTTGCAATGACTTCACTTTACCATTATGATGCAAAAAAATAGCTAAGAATGGGCATGATCTTCAAATTTCATTTACAAAAAGGATAGTTTGATAATTCCTGCTTTAAGAATTAAATATGCCATAGTGATAGCTTTCCATCATTATGATTTGAAGTCAACAACAAGAATAAAAAGTAACCTCCTTATGCTTGGTCTTCTTGGTCTACAGGATTTTCTAAGAGCTAATCTATAGCTCTCTCTCATCTCCTACTGCTATCCTTCCTGTTCACAACTTTTGCCTTTAATACTTTTTCAAATAAACAAAGCTTTACTTATTTCTAGCTTCCCAGGCTCATGTTTTCTGTCTCCTTAGCCTTAAGTGCTCTCTCTTCAGTCAGATTTTTACTGGTCATTTTTGCTGTAAGTTCATTTCTTAGAGCCTTTCCTCAAAAGCAACCTCTTTAAAAAAAAGCTTTCTTTCACAGTTCAACATTCTTTTCCAGTTTCCAAGATTCTTCATTATTTTTTTAACATTTATCATTATGTGAATATATCTCACTTACTTATATCTTGTTGGCATGTTTTGTGCATGTCTCTAGTAAGGTCTACTTCTATGAGAGAATTTGGCTTATCTTCTCACTTTATGCACAGTATTAGAATCAGGGATCGTAAATAGTAGATATTCTTAATAAATATCTGTTGTATATGTGGAAAAAATAAACAATTTTAGAAATGCCATGTTGGCTGCGTGCAAGGCAAAGGTACTATTCAAATAGAAGTAGCCATCACTCCTGGGGAGTAGTCATTTCATTTCATTTCATTTCATCATCCTGTTATTCGTCGATTGCCTCGAGCAGGCCCCAGTAACGTCTCTTTCATCCTAGCCCTGAGATTATATTCAAGGCTCTTTAGGAGAATGAGACCCATCATTGTTACTGGTATTTGGCATATTTGGTACGCCATGGGGAGTTTGCCAGACTCTGCCGTGTGGGAGTGCCCTGTGAGGAGTCGATGAGCAGTAAATGATGAGGAGACCAGAAGGACAGAGTAGGGCGTGACAGCAATAACACAGGCAAAGAGTTTTTGGTTTGAGGCTGGGAAGGGTCTATGTTTCTGAGGATATCAGCTCTTTTTTTTTTCCTAGAAAAAAGATGTCAAAGAGAGGGTTGCATTACAGATTGATAAGGGAATGCAAAAAAAAGGAAAACGGTGAGAATCATGGGTGATTCACATGCCAATATCCTTTTTTCTTTTCCTTTTTCTCTTTTTTTTTTCAAATAAAGACCTATAAGCATTTGCAGTACTTAAAGTACTTGTAACGGTAGTTTCAAAAGCTGAGTTTAACTTATAAGAAAAAAATATTTTGAAATAATTTTAGGTGTACAAACCAATACAACAAGTTTCTATATATTCCTCACCCTGGAATCAAACTTTGTAAGTTATCGATATGTTTCCATTTAATAAAAAACAATTCCCCGCCCCCCAATCTATATTTATTTTAAGGGAAGTGTCTCTAAAGCTTAGTGTAAAGTATATAAAAGTTTCCCTCATTTAAAGACTATGTAACTTAATGGCCAAATGCATCAAATCCCTTTTTAAAAAACCATTTGGGGTCCTGTTAGCACAGTCACACCGTATCCATTTTAAACAAAGTTAAACTATTTGCAAGTTTTCCTTGGGTAGATTAACTTGATACTCTACAAACACAAATAGATGGCAATATTTCCAAAACATCTCATGCTTGAAGGGGCACTTCTAACACCAGTTCTATTTGGCGGCAGTGATGCATTCAAATACCACTAGATAACGCAAATGCTCAGAACTGCTGACAACACATTTGCTACGAAACAAACAGACACTGAGTTGTGTCAGATTCTCAACCATTCGTGCCTTCCAACTCTTTGAAAATCTCACTTCAACCCACTGATAAGATCACTCACTCAGTGGTTATCTTCAAATGACCTTTTACTAAGGCTATTACAGAAATGAATAAAGTGACTGAAATGACTACAATATGAACTTGTATATAAAATGAGATTTGTATGGTAAGCAAAGTATACAGCAAAATCCTCTTGAAAAATGATATCCATAATCTGAATAAAACAAATGCTAATAACCTTAAAGATTCTCAGTATAGCTAACAAACATATGAGTATCTCCCCAGGATTTTAAATTAATCAACTCAAAAAAAATTTAGCCCTCAGGACAAAAAGCACTTAGGACAAAGAAAAACAGGAGAATAAAATATATCCAAGGTACCTATTAAACCAGAGAGGAATCAAAGAACTAACAAAAGGATAATGTAACCCTATATAATTACTAATAAATAACACATGAAACAACTAATATAGAGGATTAGATACCTTTTCTTCAGGTATACTGTAACGGACGTTTTCCAAAAATACTGATGTATTTTCCACATTTGTATATCGTAAAAGAATATGAGCAAAATCTTCTTCGCTGATGGTATTCATCCCATTAGAATAGGAAAGAAATTCAATTTCTAGAACTTCTGTTTGGAGGTTATCCATGAATCTATGACAAAAATACATGAAGAATGAATAGGTAAAAGGAGGGTGAAGTTAAAAGATGGCACTTCAAGTTTCAGGGCTTCCCCATCTGTAAAAAGTGAATAACAAAAAGACTTTGCAGGGTCAAGGTGAAACTTAAAGGAGGTAATGCTTTGTAAACATTCTAGACATATGCTTATTATTAAGGTGTCTTATAGAGACTAAGAACTTTGGGAGCATACTTTCTTCGGAATATGTAGGAAATAACAATAAATTCAGATACACAGCCATTTTTAATCATCCAGTGACTTCCTGCTATTGTCAGCAATATTATCATTGGCATCTAGGTACTAATGGAAGTGGAAACACAGGGTGTCCTCAGTTCACAGCAAAGTGGCAAGGTGATTGTTTTAGGTTGTCTTAGAGGATTCCTAAAAATCTTTCTGACTTAAAAATATTTTTCAATACAAGCATAAAAAATTAAGCTCACCTATAAAAATCTTCAAAGTTGAGCTCAGCTTTTCCTTTCTTTCCAAAAAAGTGTATTAGAAGTGTAGTATCTGTTACTAAGCTTGTAATATCATCAGCACGCTTTAAAAAAATTGACAATGTAAAGGTTAGTTGCAACAAGAGAAACAGAATAGGGATTGCCAGTATCCCTCCAAGAATTTCTTCAACAAAAATATCAAGATCCCAAATATACTAACATTAGAAATAAATACATAAGGCTGTCACTGTCACTGTCCTCTCGTTCATAGATTTTGCTCAAGTGGGCCCAGTAACATTATGAGACTTGTTACTGTGTTTGGTATATAGAATACTTCACGGGTAGCTTGCCAGGCTTTGCCGTGCAGGAGAGATACTCTCGGCAGCTTACTGGGCTCTCCGAGAGGGGCGGAAGAATCGAACTCAGGTTGACCATATTGGCTGCGTGCAAAGCAAACGCCTACCCGCTGTGCTATCGCTCCAGCCCACATAAGACTATAATAAAAATATTATAGCTAAAATGAAGTTCAATCTGAAAATAAAAATTGAAAGCAACCTTCTTTATTCTATCAAAATTTAAAGGATATTTAAAAATATATTATAAGCGGCATTCAACCTCAAATTATTCATGTGAGATATCTGTTACTGTCCTCCCATTGTTCATCGATTTGCTCGAGCGGGCCCAGTAATGTCTCCATTGGAGACTTTGGTTGTTACTGTGTTTGGCATATCGAATACATCACGGGGAGCTTGCCAGGCTCTGCCATGCGGGCGAGATACTCTCGGTAGCTTGCCGGGCTTGCCGAGAGGGGCGGAGGAATCGAACTCGGGTCAGCCACGTTGGCTGTATGCAAGGCAAACGACCTACCGCTGTGCTATCGCTCCAGCCCATGTGAGATATATATATATATACATATATATGTTAAATTACATAAAACAAGCACATTTACATAGTAATCTTAAAAATGTTTTATTATATGTAATGTTTAAGTAATTTAGATTGAATTTTCCTAAACAACCTGAAGAAAGTTTTTGGAATGTTCAAAGGACATAAAATTCAGATGTATTAAATATTTGATATTGACAGAGTCTCAGCTCTAGGAAATATCTTCTTTGCCCATGTGATACACTTTGATTGTATTACATATTGACAGCATTTTAAAAGACACTTGAAAGGGAAAATATAGTAATATTTCCTTTAAGTTGAAGCATCTATACATTATTAAAAGTTATATCATTTTTTATGTAAGTAAAAAGTTACAGGGAATTTTCCTCTACTTGATGAACCATGCTCAAAAGATATATTCTGAAAGGTCAGTATGTAGTACTTATCAAGTTTAATTGCTTATGAAAAAATGTGTCTTTTTGGTTTTTAACATTGCTTTACAGGCTTTCCTTTTCCTCTCCTTCTTCATTTTTTCTTTTCTTCCTTCTTTAACTGGTCATTAACTCAGACCTATCCTATAAGCTAAGGTACAAAAAAAATGAAAAAATTCAAATATTTCTAACTTTTTAACATTTTGTTGTGAGGAATTTAAGAAAAATGATAGGTTTTAATGATAATTTTCTTTATTAAAAATAGTTGTAAATTCTCACGTAAAATTACATATTGGCATGTTTTAATTTGGCCACAATCACAATAGAACTCTAGAAAATATAAGAAATAGCATAAGCAGAAAAATCAAGAAATATTTACAAATATTTACAATATTCGTCTTATATATTCTGACAAAAAGTTTCACGTCATTTGTTGTCCACACACTAAATAATTTTTTGAGTCCTTATAGTACTATTTCAATCTTCCATGAAAATAGCTACTTTATCTTTCTTACTTATATGATCCTGATACACTTCTCCCACGGGCAAACACTATTCATCTCTTCTAGTAACTAGTAGCTATGAGTTACAGGAACTATATTTTTCTGATGATCTTCCCTTGGCAATATGCCCTCTGAATCCCAGTGTTTCTGAAGTGATCTTCTGCTACTTTGATTCGTCATCTTTTTCTTAGAAACTCCACCATATAGGGAATCTAAAATTCACTAAAATTGTTGAAATTATTTAGTAATCATCTAAGGAACTGTTCTTCAATCATTTTATGCCAGTAAATTGGCAACTGTCCTGCAGGGACTGGCAGTTATAACCAAGTTTGTATATCAGTGGTTTTCAACCTCTACATCTGCAGACTACACTCAGTTTGCAGGAAAAGCATAATTCTTTTTTTTGGGAACATATGTCATTTTAATTACAACATTCTTTGTGATTGTGTTGATTGTGTCTAAAGAGTTGACTATTCAGGGTGTGGTAAAATGAATAGGAAAAGGGAATATTATGTCTAAATGAAGCCATAACAGTGGAGGATCTAGTTAATCAGAACTTGGAATGAAGAATTGATATTTATCTAGAATAGAGGTGTCCTAACATATTTGATCTACCACCCCATTTTTGGAAAAAAAAGTCATTGTTCCCCCTAGAAATATATACCTTTTAAGCAAATAAACAGACAGCACCCCCTCCCTTATCCCTTGAATCAGGGACTACTGAATTCCTAGATTATTCCAGCACAGTCCTGTGTATCACCCACTTTGGTAAACATGGATCAATACACTAGAGGAAGGGGGTATAATAGTGGGACAACATAAAAAAGAAAGCCCAGGTCCAGATGGGCTGATTAGTGAATCAAGCCAAACCTTCAAAGAGGACTAATTACCTACTCTCAAGCTCTTTCAAAAAAAAAAAAAAAAAAGGAATTCTTTCAGACAGTTTCTATGAGGCCAGTTTTGCCATGATACCCAAAGATGACAGAGATTATCACTGAAAAGAAAAATTATAGAATATCTCTTGAACCAGTCTGTTATAATAATACAGGCAAACAAATATTAAATTCAAAAGAATGCGTTCAAAGGAATGACATAGGTGGTTATAACTATTAACCAGAAACACAGAATGGTTCAATATATGAAAATAAATTAATATAAAAACTAAAAAAGGAAGATAAGACCATATTATTATATCAATAGAAAGCTTTTAACAAGAGTCAACATTCACTTAATAATAAAACTCTCAAAAAATGAGCGTAGAAGAGACCAAAATAGAAAAAAAAATCCCATTTGTACTGTTTCTCAAAAGACCAAGTATTTAAAAATAAATTTAACAAAAGAAGTGAAAGGTGTTACATTAAAAATATTAAGTCACTAAATGGGACGGGGGGATGGGGGGTGGGGGGGATGCTGGGACCCGTGGTGATGGATGACGGGCACTGGTGGAGGGATAGGCACTTGATCATTGTATAACTGAAACCCAAGCACAAAATTTGTAAGCCTATAACTGTACCTCATGGTTTTTCACTAATAAAAAAAAGAAAAAAAAGAAATAAAAAATAAATAAATAAAAAGAAATAGAACACAAAATAAAATGGGAAAATATTTTACATGTCCATCGATTGGAAGAATAAACATTTTTTTTTTTTTGCTTTTTGGGTCACACCTGGCGATGCACAGGGGTTAATCCTGGTTCATGCACTCAGGAGTTACTCCTGGCGGTGCTCAGGGGACCATATGGGATGCTGGGAATCGAATCCGGGTCGGCCACGAGCAAGGCAAATGCCCTACCCGCTGTGCTATCTCTCCAGCCCCAAGAATAAACATTTTTAAAATGACTTTCTTACTCAAAGAAATCTATAGATTCAGTGTAATCTTTAGCAAGATTACAACAGCATTATTCGAGGACTGTAGCACTGTCCTGTAGCACTGTCCTTCTGTTGTTCGATTTGCTCAAGCGGGTCCAGTAACGTCTCCATTGTGAGACTTGTTGTTACTGTGTTTGGCATATTGACTACATCATGGGTAGCTTGCCAGGCTTTGCGGTGCAGGCGAGATACTCTCGGTAGCTTACCAGGCTCTCCGAAAGGGGCAAAGGAATCGAACCTGGCTCGGTTGGGCCAGCAAACGCCCTACCACTGTGCTATCGCTCCAGCCCAAGGACATTGCACAAATACTATCAAAATCTATATGAAACCACTCCAAGCCTCTTTTCCCTGAAGAGGCAATTCAATATTAGGGGTAAAGAAGAGAAGATGCACTAACTTTAAACTATCTTATAAAGATATAGCAATAAAAACATAGTGATATTGAATCAAAGTATTTACTTAACCTTAGATATATTAATAACCTATGTCAAAGGTGCCAAGGGCATAAATGAAGGAATTAATGTCTTTCCAGTAAATTGTATTAGGAAAACTGCTTAGCCACAAGCAAAAGAAGAAAATTAAACCTCTACCTCAACCCTGCATTAAAGATAACTCAAATGAACTGAAGCCCTTCATGTTAGACCTGAAGCCATGAAATAAATAAATGGTATGAGGCAAAACACTGCATGATAAAGATTTCAGACATTTCTTCAAGTACCTGATTCCAACAACTAAAAGACACAAAAGCAAAAATAAACAGGACTGCATAAAACTAAAAATTTCTATACTGAAAAAGAAAAATACTACCAAAATAAAAAGACAACCTATCAAATAAGAGAAAATATTTATATACCATCTATCTATCTGTCTATCTATGAAGCAAAGAGATTGTTAGTACTTAAGGTATATGAAGTACTCCCAAAATTCAATGACATAAACATGAATAACCCCATTAATGAAAGAGATGAATTAATACTTCTCCAAAGAAGGAATGCAGTTGGTTGCCAGGTACATGAAAATGTGGTGATCATCACTGATCATCAGGGAATGCATCAAAATGCCACTGAGATATCACTCTACAACAGTGATAATGGTCTATATCAAAAAGCCTGGCAACAACTAGTGCTTGTGGTGGGTATGGAAATAAAAGGAATCCTCATGAACTGTTGGTGGGAACTGTGTCAGCTACTGTAGAAACAGGATGGAGATTTTTCAAAAAAAATTTTAAAATAGAAGTTCCATGTGATTGAGTAATTCCATTCCTAAGCATCAATCTTAAGAATACAAAAACACTAATTTTAAAAGACGCGTGCAGGGGCCGGAGCTACAGTACAATGGGTAGGGCATTTGCCTTGCATGCAGCCGATCTGGGTTTGATCCCCAATGGACTCCATGTGGTCACCTGAGTTTTACACCACCAGGAGTAATTCCTGCGTGTAGAGCCAGGAGTAACCCCTGAGCATCACCGGTGTGACCCAAAAAGAAAAACAAAAAGACACGCACTTGTTCAAGTATCTTCAAATTAGTGCTTTTCAAAAAGAAATCTACTTACAATTTCCTAGGTCTGGAAACCACTCAAGTACCCAATAGCAAATGAATGATAAAGAGAGTTCGGTAAAGTTTAAAACAAAGACGAAATCTTGCTTTTTTTTGCTACATCATGGACAGGGGTGCAACTAGAGGGTATATAAAGGTATATAATGTTAAGGAAAATATGTTAGAAAAAAGACAAATATGAGATGATCACACTCATAATATGCTACATAAATAAACAAGGTAAGAAAACAGACAATGTCTAGTGAAACCAACTCTAGATTGTTTTTTTGGTGGGAGATAAAGAAACCTTTAGCATTATGACCATCATATTATACATGCCCACTATATGTTGGCTTATATACATTTTTCTAACTAAATATATTTTTTAAAGTTGGGGAAAAACTAGATAGGATAGATGCAATAATAATGTTGCAAGTTTTATGCAAATAATTTTATATTGTACACTCAATTCTATTTTGCTATCAAAACTACCCATAAATATTATTAAGATCTGGAAGGAAAATAAGAGGTTACAGGGACATCAAAAGTTACTGAACTCCAGGCAACATATTTATGGGATATCTTCTTTTAGAACTATGATGTCCTTAACCTTAAAACATAATACACTGAAATGAGATGGCTTTGTTTTACACAGGTTTAAGTAATGACCTCATTCAGCCAGTTTTTCTCATGCCCATTGAACACAGCAGATCTTCATTTACAGTCTTTCATCATCAAAATCTTATTAGACTTAGGTTGCACTTATCCAGATAATCCAGAATGCACAGAAGCATAAGTAACAGTTTGACATTGAAGGAAAAAAAAAGAGAAAAGAAAATGGAAATGGTGAAAAACCCCCTTTCCCCCAGTGCCCCATTCAGTGAAACGGAGTATTGTTGAGAATCACTGAAAATTATACCAGTGTCCTTGGTATCCTAACAGTGTTATATAACTTAAATCACAGGAGAATGAGACAAAAATAGACTTTATCCCTTTGATTCTAGTTCTCATTGTTAAAATAAAATGAATTCAGGTGTTTTTATAACGAGATAAAAGCCCACAAAAGAATAAAGGGCTAATTACATGAAAGGCCATTATCTAAGGTACTTGATAAATAATTAAATGAAATGAACATATTAATAAATTTGTACCAGAAATGTGAAAATATTAAAATAAGTAATTTTAAGATAGTTTCCAACATATTTTTGTTGATTACAGTATTATAATCTTACCAAAGACTAGAGAAAATATTCAAATTTTATTTGTAATGAAGATTTGAATAATCTAACAAGTCATTAAAATAATAAAATGTATTTTCTCTGTAAAAATAAAAAGGTTTAAGTGGTACAACATGGAAAGTATCATGCTAAGCGAAATGAGTCAGAAAGAGAGGGATAGACATAGAAAGATTGCATTCATCTGGGGGATATAAAGTAACAAAGTATGAGATTAATACCCAAGAATAGCTGAGATCAGCACCAGGACTATTACTCCATAACTTAGAGGCCAGCGGGTATCCTAGAGGAAAGGGCAGTTCAGATAGAGAAGGGAGCACTAAATAAAGGATGTTTGGAGGATCCTCCCAGGAGGGGAGATTCATGTCGAAAGTAGACTATGGACTGAACATGTTTGCCACTCAATGCCTCTTTTGCAGACCACAACACCCAAAAGGAGAGAGAGAACACAGGGGATTGCCCTGCCACAGAGACAGGGGGGATGGGGGGATGGGGGTGGGAGGGATATTATCCATGGTGGTGGAAAATGGGCACTGGTGGAGGGATGGGTATCTGATCATTGTATAATTGAAACCAAAGCACAAAAAATTGTAAATCTACAACTGTAAAAAACAATAAAATAAAATAAAGGGAAAAAAAAAAGAAAAAAAATAAAAAGGTTTTATATTTCTGATACTGATACTGATACTGATGGATTTTCACTCAACATTTGTATAAATAGACTTATATTGTACTATGAATTTATCATCTATTATTTGGATAGAAAGTGGTATCAGCTATAGCATAATTAAATTTTAATTAAATCACAGCTTTACTGTAATTTTAAGAAACTAATGACTAGAAATGAAATAAGAATGCAAAGTTAAAATTGATTTACAATATTTAAAATAATTATTTTACCTAAATAATATTTTAAATAGATAAGAAACAAAGAAACATATATAAATGTATTTCTAAGCTTCATTCTTGAATTAATTTGAATCTTGAAATTCTGATGCTATGTGCAAATCAGTGTTACTGCAAATATACTGAAAAAATACTGAAAATAGTCTATTATAAATTACAATGAGTTGTAGCTTAAATATAGTTAATTCTCAATTTATCCTTGGTAATCCCCAAATAATTACTTTACTTTGGAACACAATGTAACTTTTTTCCTTTTTATTCTCACCATCAGATTTACTTTTGCAATTTTTAAGTTAATTCATTAACTTATTATGATTATAGTCACTGTCAGTGTCACTATCCTCTTGTTCATCGATTTGCTTTAGCGGGCTCAGTAACGTTGTGAGACTTGTTACTGTGTTTGGCATATCGAATACGTCACGGGTAGCTTGCCAGGCTTTGCCGCGCTGGCGAGATACTCTCGGTAGCTTGCCGGGCTCTCCGAGAGGGGTGGAGGAATAGAACTCGGGTCCACCGGGTGGGCTGCGTGCAAGGCAAATGCCCTACCCGCTGGTGTTCTAATAAATTGGGTTTTGGGGAGAACTGAAAGGCTTATTTTGTGGTCAGAGAACTAGTCCAACAGGTAGGGGGTGCTTGACTCCATGGGGCTGACACAGCTTTGATCCCTGACATTCCATATGGTCTCCTGAGCCCCAGGCCTGATCCCTGAGAACAGATCCAGGACTAAGTCCTGAAGACCACCGGGTGTGGCCCAACACTAAAACCAAAACAAAGTACCAATGACATGTTAAAAGAATGTTGAGGTGAAAACAGATGGACAGAAATAAATGGTGACTGTTTTGCTGATAGCAAACCTCCTAAGATTATAAATCTCACCTTGCATTAACTGGTTTTGTCTAACGACCAGAATTTCTAGTGGAATTAAATTAGGATAGAGACAGTCTTGAGGGAGAAGAGGAAAGTCTAGTATGCAGAAAGGCATAGTGGCATGACTATTAATCTCAATATGGATCATAGTTGATCTGTGGGAAGCAAAAGGCTAGTTCTCTCAGTTGCTTTTACTTTAGATACTGACAACTATGTGTCTGCGTAAATGATTACAGGATGAAGTACTTTTGAAATATCCTCGATAGAACACCTGTTGTCCCTTTATACGGCAACTATGGTATTATGTAAATACTTCATATTTAGAAAGCAAATTTCATAAGTTTCTAGTAATTTTAATCATATTTATATATTATGACAGAATAGGAACAGGGCAAACTGCTTGATTTGTATGTTTTGGGCTTTTAAAACTGAGATCAAATAATGAAATTTACATTACCAAGTATCTGCCCTAGTCCAGAGGTGTTAATTGAGTAGCACTGTGTATATGGACAGTAGAAATGATAGAAATACCGTTTACTTCTGTAGATATTTTACATAAAATGTTTTAAAATCTTTAAAAGGAATTAGAGGTCAACTTTTAGGAGTAATAAATAGTGAAAAATGTATCTGAGCATTTACTGAGTTCTTTGTGGAAAGCCACATTAGAAACATAAAACAATAATCTGTAAAACACAGCCTGTATTTTGGTGGGGGGTTATGGGAGTAGAGCTCCAAAGTGGTATCCAAAGTCCTCCAGACTACATCTGGCTCTGCTCAGGATACCTTGTGGTGCTGGTGGAACTCAACTAATAAGCACTGAAACTTCTGTTATCATTCCCTGGCCCTTACAGACATATCTTAGAATGACAAAACACTATTAACAATGTGTGGGTATTGGGAACAGATCCAGAGCACTTGGACAGAAATGAAGGAGTACTCAGTCTACTCTTACTTCTCATGCACTGGTAATCTTAAACAATGACAAGGTAAGATATTTCCCCCTTTCATAATCTGACAAGTCCTGCCACACTTCCCTCACTGCCCCACTTGGAATGAGGTAAGCCACTTGGTAAGCTTACAATTCACATTGGAAAATTGTTCAAGTTTATAACAATTCTAAAAGCATCAGCTGTACTATTTTTTAAGCAATTAAAAATTTTTAGCATTTCAAAAAACAATGCTAACTAAATGGTAAAAGATGCAGTGAAACTAGAAAATAGTATCTTCGAATTTCTGGAAAATGTTTCTTCGGTTAAAAAAATTCCATTTAATTAATTTGGAAAGTCATATTTTCTACAACCTAGTTGTTTTCACACAGACCTTGCAGAATGCTTGTAACCAACCCCTGCTAACAGAGCTGACATTTCCAAACATACCATTTATACACAGGAATTATTGCTTTTGTGGAGAAAGAGAAAACAAAATTATTTGCGGTTTAATCATTTTGACTTTAAAATGGAATAAGGAATAGATGGACAAAATGGTAAATAAGTACAAGGCACCGGTTGAGGTTTAATTATACCTCTGCGAGGTCTGAAAAGAGTGCTTGACTTGTATTACGTCTCAGTGTATCCCAATAGCTTCTGGAGACAAGTTCTTCAGCATCTGTTTTAAGCACCTGTAGAAGTTTTAAGAAGCACAACTGAAATCTAAATAGACACAAAGAATGATAATTTATACATTTTAAATAACCACTAGTCAATCTTAAAAAGAAAGGAAAACACATTATCTTACCTTTACTGTTTTCTGCTGCACACAGTATTAAATTACACTGCTGGTAAACCCAGAAAATATTCTGGGTTTTGCAAAGGTATAATAGTATATAATCATGATTTCTAAGTAAACTGTGGTTTGTCAAAAAAGATTGTAATTTTTAGACTCTCCCCCCAAATATATGTTACAAGAAAAATTTTACTCACACTTTATTTTTAAGTAAATATATTTGGAAAGGTTTTGGTAATTTTTTAGTAATCTATAAAATCATGCATAATTTACAAATGATTTACTGTTGGATGGCATAGTGCAGCAAAGAATCTAACGGATCATATTTTAAAATAAAGTTTAAGTTCATTCAAAACTTATTAAAAAGAATATGCCACTTAGATCACTCACAGCTACTCAGGAACCTGTTATATTGTAAAGTGGTAAAGTACCTTTGGTCTATAAAAAGAATCGATATCAGTTTCTATCTTACTGATGAGGGCAATAACAAGGATTAGAAGTGGAGATCATCATGAAAACAGAACTACAAGTTTTACTTAGTTATGTAGAAATAAAAATAATTAAATGTAGTTTCTGTCAAAATTTATCAAGAAAAATTTCACATTTCTCAGGCTTGCTGTTCTTTGGGTTATTGTGAGAAGATAATGCTGCATGATGATATATAGATATGAGTGGTAATTAATAAGAGAATGTTCATTTTTTTCTTGGCCTTAAGTTTTAAAAGTCTTGTGCTACTATTAAAATTATTATGCACTTGCGGATTATTAAAAAAATCTCAGTTTAAATTGAAATTTATCAAGTAGAAAATAATGTCTAATGCATATATTTAATAACATATTAAAATGTTAATAATAAAATATTTTATAGTGGGAATCCCATATAAACAGACATATTTTATAAATGTACAAGCAGCAATGCTGAAAGTGTTTCAATTGGAAAATGTACAACTCTAAAAATATATGAGCTACCTCCCTTACAGAATAATCAAAATTTCATGTTATGGAAACTTTGTTCAAAATTTGAACATACACTACAGCAAGGGTGGGGAATGCACAGTTAATGCCAATTAACTAATTCTACCTCCAACCGCTCTGCCTCTAATTAAATTGTAATTTAAAGGTTAGTGCATAATCACAATTCAATCAGCTAATCAGTGGCTGAATAAAGAGCAGTACTCCTACATAAAAAAATAAAAAAAATTTAGTGCATACTAAAGAAAGGGGCTATTCAACCTATGAGTGAAAAAATAAGGTTACACCATTACGAAGATAACAAGAATCTTTAGTTTCATGAAGTAATGTGACTTCCTTACACCAAGCATCAGTTGCTATCATTTCTCTGCCTGCCTGTCTGCCTGCCTGTCTGTCTGTCTGTCTGTCTCTCTCTCTCTCTCTCTCTCTCTCTCACACACACACACAGATGACATAAAAAACAGTTACAATTTAGGAAGAAATAGAGTTTGCTTAATAAACTACACTGGCATGGAGTGCTACAAAATATTAAATGAGCATAGAAAAGAAATAAATATTGCCCGCACTGGAATCAACTTATCTCTAAATGGTAGAATGAAAAATATGAAGCGTAATTTTTCTGTTTTATATTTTAAAATGTTTTTAGAATGAGTATTAGCTGTCAGGATAAAAAACAGGCTTTCAATTAAAAAATCCTAATTAGAACATGAGATTAATGATCCTTTTCAAGAGAAAGTTTTCTTACTCACCATCATTTACTTTCAAACATTAAATTATGCTAGATTATATGACTTAGTTACTATAAATAGCTACATCTGTTTTAATTTTTATGTTTTATAGTTATTTAAATTATACAGTTTTTTTTAAAATTTTTTTTATTAGTGAAACACCACGAGGTACATACAGTTTTACGTGAATATCATAACTATATTCACATCTTGTTTTAAGTATATGTGTGATATATAATCAACAGGAAAAACATAGCTAATATAGTACTGACTTTCCTAGCAAGTAACTCAATGGTACACGTGTTGCACTGGGAATCAATATTTAATTTTAGATTAGTGACTTGGGAGATGAAATTAAGAATAAAATTTCAGAACATGAAAAACTAGTGGAGAAGTTCAGTATCAGACAATAATAATTTAAAATAAATCTAAACAGAACACATCTTATAGCAAAAAATGCAGATACAAAAAAAGCAGGAAAATCAGATACAAAACCAGAATTAATGAATATAGGCTAAGAAAAGATAATCAGAAGAAAATGTCCAAATATAACTAAATAGTTAATGGTTATAAAACAGATAAATGCTTTACTCAATGCTTTACCATGTAAATAGCTTGGCAACTTACAAAGACTTCCTGAAATCATCTAAACATCTTTTGACTACTGTATGAGTTTAGGCTTCCTTAAACAATTGATCATGCCTATAGATTCTTCCCGTATTCTGTAAAGCTATTTCCTGCTACAGAATGTACTGCTTCATAACTTACCATTTCACAGGCCTTAACTGGCATTAACTATGCATTCCCCACCCTTGCTGTAGTGTATGTTCAAATTTTGAACAAAGTTTCCATAGCATGAAATTTTGATTATTCTGTAAGGGAGGTAGCTCATATACTTTTAGAGTTGTACATTTTAATTGAAACACTTTCAGCAAAAACTACTGAACAGGTCAAACTGGTAAAAAAATATTATTTTGAGCAATTTTTCTAAGGGATTTGGGAACATTGGGGAAATTAAATCAAGGACATAGCATTATATTCAATGGAGCAATAATCTGTTCCTAGTTGTTTAGTGACTGTGCTCATCAACAAACTCTGACTTACCAGAAAAAAGGAAAGGAAAATAAACTGTTAGCACAAGAATACCCAGGGATGTGATTAAATGGTAAACCATATCCCTTGGGTTCAAATCCCAGTACTGTAAAACAGCAACAACAAAAACAAGAATATATTTAGAAGATCATTTGCAGGAACTTCTAATTTTTTCAGGGCAAAGAAAATCTAAGAATCATAATCTTCCTTGAGGAAGAAAACATTTTAAAAATGATATTTAAAATACATGAAGAAAGGGGTTAGATAATCCTCAGTAAAAACAAAGGCTGTGATATAATCAATAGAACTGGGAACTGAAGCGCCAGTGGAGGAGGAAAGGACTGTGGTGAAACGGAGGGAATTGCAAATACTCTACAAATAGTGAAGGGAGTGCTGTAGTACTCTGCACTATAAAATAACGACAGTAATGCTATTGCAAACTATACAACCACAATTAACAGTTTAATTAAAATATGTAATAAGAGCTATCTTATACCAGACTTTTGTAAAGGTCATTGGCAGACACAAAAGATTTTAGAATAAAAATTCAAGCAATACTGAAAGCTAAGCAAAGTCTCTTCATGAACATACTTTATTTATTTGTGAATGTTCTATTTCTCTTCAATGGATAGATCTAGCTCTTAAAATACCCATGCCATGCCATGTAGGAGTATACCTTAGAATCTGTTCCATAACTTGTATTTGATTCTTCAAATACTGTTGGAAAATACAGAAGTTCAATTATTCTGTCAGTGATTTTGGTTATGGCTGTCACTCACCTTTCCTTTAACCTAAAGTTAAAGATATACAATTGCTCTGCATGCTTTGGTTCTTAGAAATCTAAGAAGGAAGTATAAAATTTTAGCTTAGTCATACCTAGTATATTTGATTAATTACTAAACATTCCTAATAGCAGATACAGATTCATATAAGTAATAACATTATCAAGTATAACAGGTGAGGGCTATTTACATAAAGAACATTTAAAGTGTTGTACATACACTATTAGTAGGAGAATGGTATCCATAAAGTTGAAGACGCTGACATAGAGCACAAAGGGCCAAATGAAGTGTCACATTTCAGAATGAACCCAAGTATAGCAAAAGAAAAAAGAAAAAGGCGACAAAATAATCAATTAGGAAGGGCAAATCATTATGCTATATTCTATACAGAGCACACACAGTACAAATAGGATAAATATTAAAGATGAGTAGCAAAGTTTAAAAAATCTCATGTAATTAACATGTGCTCCTTTCAACCATTTTTATGAAGTTTTTACTGAACGACTGCTTTCGTAAAACAAGTTCCGTAGAATGTAGTTTTATTTAGACACGCTTCAGCCATTCTACATGGGAGAGGGGGAAAGTCTTGATGGAGTAGCATGGCAGTGGAAATGGTATGAAGACGCTACTGAAGAATCCTGTTCTCCTCTTATTAGTGCTATAAACTTTGGCAAGTTAATTAACCTCTCCAAGAGAGTTTTATCATCTGTAAAGCAGCTATGATACTTACCTGAGAGAAATATAATAAATGTTGCTAAGTGGGACTAACATTTATAAAGTCACTTCATTCTTTCATTCTGAGGAATAGTTTTTGGGGTATCAAGTTTTAAAATTTAGTTTTGCTTTTTTTTTAGAGGGTATGTGAATATTCAATTCAAAATAGTTGTGTGGTTCTATGTTTGAAAGAGAAATTAAAAATCAACTGACTTTGGGGTGGGTGGCCACATCCAGAAGTTCATGGCTACTCCCACCTCTTTTGCTGGGGGTCATTTCCAGGTATTCAGGGGACCAGGAAGGTGTAGAGCATGCACTTCAGCCCTTTGAACTATCTTTCTTGACTCCTGGCTAATAATTTTGAGTGTTATGAGTTTTATGCTGTTAAACAGGTACACATTTTAGCTGAAATATTTAACTCCCACAACAATCACATGTGGTCATGCCTCTTATTCAACTCCACCGTGCAAATGAAGAAACTGAGGAACAAGGCCAACAAACGTGTTCAAGGTCACCAGAGTAATAACTTCTAGTGCTAAAATTCAAACTCTGGAAACCTAGTTACTGAGCCTGATCTCCACAATTTTGCTACTACATTCTAAATATTTTAGTATAAATTAAATTTCAAATCAAGCCCGGCAAGCTACCGAGAGTATTCGATATGCCAAACACAGTAACAACAAAGTCTCCAATGGAGACGTTACTGGGCCCGCTCGAGCAAATCGACGATCAACGGGAGGGCCTTTACCTTTACCTTTACAGGTTAAATGTTTTCTTAAAATGTGGTAATTACGAAAAAGCAGCTTACTGTTGTTATCTTAAATAAACACAGCTCTGAGTGTCTGCGGAGTCCTGCATTGTTGTGGAGTGCTATGTAATTCAGAGGCCATATTTAGATGGATTTGGAATTGTTTTAAGGAGCAAGTATGAAGTTAAATGGTTTAAAGAAGATTTCAGAATTTTTTGCAGGGGAGGGCACACCCAATAGTGCTCAGGGCATACTCCTGGCTCTGCAGCCAGGGGTCACCCCTAGCAGTGCTCAGGGGACAATATGCGGTGCTAGTGATTGAAACTGGGTTGGCTGTGTTCAAGTACTGCTGTACTATTGCCCCAGCCCTCAAGGAGATTTTAGGCATGTTCTTCATATCTAGGTAAGATAAATACTCCTGAGGTACATGTGGAGAACAAAGACTTTAGTAAGCATTCCCTTACATAAATTATACTCATATTATTTATGGTAACTTGAAATCTAATCTTTAAAGCAAGCTTCCTTCCCGTATTTGTGCCAGAGAAGCACAGTTGCATCATGCACTGTATTATGCCCGGCAAGCTACCGAGAGTATCTCGCCCGCGCGGCAGAGCCTGGCAAGCTCCCCGTGACGTATTCGATATGCCAGACACAGTAACAACAAAGTCTCCAATGGAGATGTTACTGGGCCCGCTCGAGCAAGATCAACGGGAGGGCCTTTACTTTACTTACTTACTTATTTGCATATGTTGATGTAATTGGAATTTCATACTTCAAACAGAGCTTTTTTAATTAAAGATTCTCTAGTTAATCCAAATTGAGATTTTTATTTGTATCACTATCATAATCTATTTGTACTGAATCTATATTAAATTTACTTTACCTTGGCTGCAGTGAAATTCAGAACCAAATTTTGTGTTGATGTTGTCGCTTTTCTCATTGTGGGTTGTCTACTACTATTTTTCCCTTTCCTCTCTCTCTTTGTTACTCAATTTATAATTCTAGTAAATGTTAATGACTAGAATAGTATTATATTTTTACTGGAAGATCCATAAGTCCTTTCTGGAAGGAGTATAAAGAAATAGAACAGTTAAATTTCTATCCACTGAAATATTATTTTTTTCCACTTAGGTATAATGAAAGATTCATTAATGTAACTCCTCAATGATTTTTATAAGCAACTTGTCTATTGAGTCAATTGTAATTTAATCTATAAAAATTAAAGCAACTTTTATTCTTTCAACATAGCTATAGAAAATAAAATTTACAAAGGCAGTTTTACAATTGTTTCATTAATACTGTGAAACAATTCATTGTTTATAATTAAAAAATGATGAGACCTCAATTAGAGAATTCCTAATACTCTTTTTAATACTTAATTAACATAATCATCTCTTTGATTTCTTAGGGAAACTTTCATAAGTTTTAGTAGCATATCAATGAAGGTTAAACAAATACTGATAATTTATAGTCAAAACATCTATGAAAAAATGTAAATTTCAAAATTCTGATTATCTGCTTTTTATCAATATTCACTTAATAGGTTGAACTGAATATAGTGCCTATCTGTTACTAATAACATTTTTTTCATAGCCTAATTCAAATTATTATTATTATTTTGGGTGGCTGTCACACTGACAGTGCTCAGGGATCAATCCTGGAGGGACTTCAGGGACAATATGGGTTGCCAGAGATTGAGCCCAGGTTAATCACATGCAAGGCAAGAGCCCTACCACTGTACTATCTTCCCAGTCCCACAAATTTTTATAACTATGAGAATAATAAATTAAAAATGTTGTATCTCTCTGGTTTGCCATTTAAATTATACATAAAATAATTAAATTGTTGTGCATAAAACTATTACCATTCATATGTCAACAAAACTCACTAAATATGATAAATATAACATTTATATTTCAGAAAAAATATTTATAATGGGTAAGCATAAAGGTTTTGGAGGTGGCTAGGTATATGTTCAAATACTGACTTTGCCATTTGATAAAAAAAAAAAGTATACAAACTTTCCAACTACCAGTTTCCTCATCAATCATAAAAAGAGGACTTTTGGGTATGTTAACTAGAAAATGAATGCACAGTACTTAGTATGATGCCTGATAGTAAGGTGTCAGTATCTCTTATTGTTATTATGTAAATATTGGATACTGTCCGATTGATATTTGGGGAAAAGAAAAAACTGGTAAGAAAATAGGGAGAAATGTTGCTTAACTCTACCAACAGAGTAAGACCAAAGCATTTCTCATCCCCCAAATAGAACTTAGAATATATATTTCTAAAAATGAAAAAGAATTTCCTTATTTTTGCTTCAACATTTATTTATAGTACACTTATTCACATGTGTAATTAAATCTTTGCAATTCACCTTTAAATTTTTACATGCATAATGATCCGTGTTAATCTACTATATGATTAAACCCTTCAAATTTCATGGATCACAATGATATGGATGAAAGTGATCTAATGAATGCAAGAATGGATACAGATGTTTAATATCAATATTTTGTTTAAATATTGATATCAATGCATATAACCACTACAGCAATTTTTCTGCATAAGAATTTAGAAAGGCTTTGAGAAAGCGACAGCTCTATAGTTACAGACTTCAGCTGTTTGTTTCTCAAGATCAATGAAATAATTCTTACCTAAAAAACTCATCATAAGAGATGATAATTCATTCTTACCAGCAATGCACGCTTTTCTTCATCTCCTTTAGTTTCTCTCTTTTCGTTTTTTTTCCTGAATATTTCTTGAAGCTGGACAGGAAACCAATCAAGACCCACACATCCAAAATTAGCTTCTAGACACTTTGCCTACCACTCTGTGCTATAATGTTGTGCATATTAAATATTAGGCATAAATAGTACATTTCTGGTCACAAAGTAACTTTACAATAAATGCTCTCTATTATTGTAAATGGTACAATTTCCTTTAAAATTTCTATTTTATAAATGGATTCCTAATATTGCCTCTGTCAGTTATGGCAGCTTGAGTAGTATTCTCTATGTTTTATTTTATATAGCAACAATCAGAACTCAAGGCATATTACTTCTGAGAATATGTGAAGTAATAAAATACAGCATAATAGGATTTTATTAATACAAACTTATTTCTATAATTTTAATGGAAAGGGTTTTCAGCAAAGATTACTAATAAGTTATTTTTATATGGGCTGGAGCAGTAGCACAGCGGGTAGGGTGTTTGCCTTATATGCAGCTGACCCAGGTTCAATTCCTCCATTCCTCTCAGAGAGCCCAGCAGGCTACCGAGAATATCCCGCCCGCACGGCAGAGCGTGGCAAGCTCCCCGTGGCATATTTGATATGCCAAAAACAGTAACAAGTCTCACAATGGAGATGTTACTGGTGCCCGCTTGAGCAAATCGATGAACAATGGGAGGACAATGCTATGGTATTATTTTTATATAGGCAAAAGTTTTCTAGATTTTAGATCTCTAGGAGTAACAGTCCAGCTCTGCCTCCTGGTTTTGTTGTTTATGAAAAAAAAAATAACCAAAGCCATTGCATCTGAAGTAGAAGCAGAATACAGCTTTTAGTAAGGACGGCTTTTGTAAGAGTACAAAGTACAAACAATAGAAGTTCTTCATAAATGTTTTTACTTTCCATTTCACAGACAGACCACATTCCAAAAGACGTGCGCATAGTGAACTTTCAACAGAGTGAGATCCTACAGTTAATCTGTAAGTCAAGGAGATGGAATTTAGCAACGTGGCCATAGGATTTGTCTTGATAATTTGATTACCAGGCTTATTCTTAAAAGCTTTAGAATATAATGCATAATATCATGACAACTATATAGAACAGAATTAATCCATTTTAAGATATTAAGAATATATCTCTATGAAACTTAAAACTTTCACCTCCTCAACATTCCAGAAAACAGTGGAATAAATGGGCTCATTTATGGTTCCAGAACCAATGATGTGGCTAAGGAACTGAATCAAGGCAATGGCTATGTGGCTGTTGGTTTAAGCCTTTTGGTAGGTTCAGTAATTAGTCTACTTGCTTCCCTTTGAATGGCTGCAAGTTTACTCATGAGAATGTTGAACCCTTTTCTTTCCCATCAGGAAAAGAATATTTTCATAGTCTTGAGTGATTTAAACTTTGAAGAAAACACTAAACTTTTTAAGGGTTTTTTTTCCTCAGAATTTTTTAGTAACCAGTTAACTAAGGAAAAATGGAAGATGATGTTTTAGAAAAGTATAGTAAATGATGAGTTTACATAAATGCAAAGACTTTGTTACTCAGGGAATAAATGTTAAAATCTGGGAGCAAAACAGAAATAGGCATTTGTTAAACAAGTAAATGCAGGCCACATGAGTGAAAAGGAAGAAAAAATCTAAAAGGGTTGAGGTGGTGATAGTAAGATGAATGAGCAGCCGGACATATTACCAGAGTAACACTTATGCTTGACATGAGAAAGGATTCAAGGAAAAATACCTATGAACAATCTTATTCCTCCCATTTCAGTCCATGATGAGTAATGGGATGGATTAGGAAAATGGGAATAAGATTAAAATATAAGGCAGTCGTGGGCAGAATAGAAAAGCAAAAATGTCAAATCCTACAATGAGAAGGGAGGGAAGGTGTTTGTGGTAGTTTTTATTGGATGGCTGATACGAGGGGGAGTAAGTATTCACTAGAAATAACAATCTCAGGATCTACTTTTATCTATCCCATAAAAAGTTTCTGACACATTTTAAACTTTAGGCAATGTGTAAAATATTGTAATCATCTTTATATACTGAAGAGTGCATATTATTATAATATAAAAAATGAAGTACATAGATAAATATTTATTACATTAATTAAAAAAATAAAATTTGCACTTCTCAAACAACAGTATTTCAAATAGCACAAATGCATAAAATATAATCAATATTTAGTTACTGATAAAATGCAGCACGTAATATACATACCACCAAAAACTCCTTTTTATCTACCATCTCATTGCCATCAGTGTCAAACATGTTGAAAGCTATTCTAAAGCCTGCATGCGGCTCTGCCAGAAAAAAAATGTGAAAAGTATTTGTGAGAAATAAAAATACAACTTTAAAATGTTAAATCTTGTATTAGTTCAGTTACTTATATTTTGCACAGAAACAATTTCATTAACCAATAAATTAAAAGAAACACTGCTGTAACAAAATTTACATAGAAGTATACATATTTCAGTACAGTATACTTAGTAGCAAATGATAAGACACTTCATAAAGGACTGTGCGATATATGAGACTCAAGTGTTTGACTATCTTCCTTTTAAAAATAAATAGAACTCTTTATTATCCAAAGTCTGTCATGCTGTTTAAAAAGAAACTACTAGTTTGTAACATTTGAAATTTTTGTGTGTGTGTGTCACACCCGGCAATGCACAGGGGTCACTCCTGGCTCTGCGCTCAGGAATTACCCCTGGCGGTGCTCAGGGGACCATATGGGATGCTGGGAATCGAACCCAGGTCAGCCGCGTGCAAGGCAAATGCCCTACCCACTGTGCTGTTGCTCCAGTCCCACGTTTGAAATATTTTTAATAATGCTCCACTACTTAGAGTAGAACAAATAATAAAATGCTCAACTCCTTCCAATATGCTCAGCTTCTTAGGACTGAAAGAAAAATAAATGTATTACACAACATTTCTATTGTTCTGGGGAAATTATGATAGAAATGATCTATTAACATAAACACTAAGGATGAAAGATTACATGTTTGCATTTAAATTTCTAGAGGTTTCAAAAGCAAGGTTTCAATAATCCCCAATTCTTCCAAAATACAAAAAAATAGCCTTTGGGGGGTGGGGAGAACAAACATTCACATACTATGATCTTTAATTTTTGAACCTTATAATGAAGTTCAGTCCCTTTTCTCTTTTAACTTTTAAAGATTACAGAAGAAATCTTGGACAGAAGGAAATTGCTATGTGTCCTTCAAAGAGGAGTCTGGTGTACATTCCTTTTTCCAAAATCATCTGACATTTCTGAGATGAATTGGCGAGAAGTTTTAAAAGGGACCACCCACAGACATACCTGACACAACCTTGTTGCTTATGAAATTGTGAATCTATCGAAGAAGGAGAACACTATTTCACTTTCTTACTCACTAGTGAAAATAATCCAAATGGGAGCCAGTCTTTTTATTTTTCAAATGCAACTTCTTTTCTGGCATAAAACTTCAGAAATCTAAACAATTTCTGGAGCGATAGCACAGCGGGTAGGGCATTCGCCTTACATGCGGCCAACATGGCCGACCCGAGTTCGATTCCTCGGCCCCTCTCGGAGAGCCCGGCAAGCTACCGAGAGTATTCGATATGCCAGACACAGTAACAACAAAGTCTCCAATGGAGACGTTACTGGGCCCGCTCGAGCAAATCGACGATCAACGGGAGGGCCTTTACCTTTTTTTTTACCTTTATTATCATTCACTAGAAAAGAAGTAAATCATTACATCTCTGCTAAAAAAGTATTAAGCTTTAAAAAATATTTGAATATAAATAGAAAAAAATCCTTTCAAGGGGCTGGAGTGATAGCACAGCAAGTAGGGCATTTGCCTTGCACGCAGCCAACATGGCCGACACAGGTTCGATTTCCAGCACCCCATATGGTCCCCCGAGCTCCCCCAGGAGCAATTCCTGAGTGTATGAGGCAGGAGTAGCCCCTGAGCATCGCCAGGTGTGACCCAAAAAGCAAAAAAAAATCTTTTCAAATATTGCTTGGGAGGAGAATAAAGTTAAAATAAAGATAAAATGAAGAAAATTATAGACAGGCAACACAGGTGATTTGATCTCCTTCTGTAAGCTTTGTTTTCACATTTTTAAGTTCTAATCTAAACATACAGACTCCAAATTCCTAGAGGTTTCTACAATGGATCCTATAGTCCAAAGATGCACAGTATGAAAAGATTCTAACCTCTTCTAGCCTCTTCTAAGATTCTAGCCTAAGAGAACATCTAATGTGCGTTTTCCTATTCTTTTACACCATATCTCATCCCTTTTCAAACAGCTTTCCTAGCCATTTCTACTTAATTTACAACTTCACTCTGTAGGTTTAAGTACCTATTATATCTAATTTGCACCCAATGTTGTTTTAGCTAACAATAAAAGTTTTTAGCAAGTCTGAGACATTCCTTGGCACCTAAGTTCTCTCCTTTTCATGGCAGCATTCATCATTATGGCGTTCCAGTCTTATTTCTTCTTTGTGACAAAAAAATGGACTTTTTTATTTACATAAGTTTTACTGTCATATCTATTGAATTACAATTTTTGAACATTTCATACCTATATCACAAGTTATACTAATATCAATAATTTTTACTAGAGTGCCATGCATTTTCCATTGGTGTTTAGACATAAACTTTGCAAAACAACATGTACAGATTGTAAATTGATTTAATAATGAGACACTGTAACAGATGTTTTCCAAAGTTTCTAATGAAAAAATTAAAATGTACCCAGAATTGATTTAATATACTTACTTGTTAAAATACATAAAAGAAAAAGATATTCTGTGTAAGAAATAACACCTGAAAAATAAAAAGCCACAATATAGAGAAAACATTAATTTCTTTTTTATATTCACTAAATCATTCTTACACATCAATAACCATTATTCATAAAGAATTTATAATCGAAAGATATCATTTTAATAAAACCAAACTATTATAAAATCATAGCAAAATAAACATAAAATTAACCTTAATTTTTTCACATGCTTTTTTCCAAAATTCCCATTAATGCTTTAAGATGTACTGAGAATATCAAGTGAAATTATGATAATGATTGTTACATCTTTAACTTTTTGTAGCTCTTGTAAATATACTATTGAGGCCCTTGGAGGCCATGCCATGTATAATATCCAGGGCCTCACACTAGCAAAACATGTGCTCTACAACACAGTCACAATGTGACTGTGACTGTCCCTAAAACTGTGACTGTCCCTAAAACTGTACTCTCAGGAACTGGAGTCATGGTACAAAGGGTAGGTCATTGGCCCTGCACTTGGCTAATCCAGGTTTGATCCTTGGCATCCCATGTGTTCTACCAAGCACTGCCAGGAGTAACTCCTGAGTGCCAATCTAGGACTAATCCCTAAGTATAGCCGGGTGTACCCCCCAACAAAACAAAATGAAACAAAAACAACTCCCTAAAGCTCTATTCTTTCAAACTTGTTGCTTATTTTCAATATATAAACTAGAACAAACAAAAAGGTTGCAAATACCTAATACTGTGATGTGAAAGTGCTTAAATGCTTCTTAGTAACATTTGAATAGGATGTCTAGGCATTCAGGTTTAGAAATTAGATTTTATATTGTATTAAAAAAGGTTCCATAGTTAATCACTTTAAGTTTTCTGTTTCTGATACCTTTAATGATAGCAAATGTATTTTAAGAAACTTTAGTTAAATGACATTTCCTGAACATTATATCCGGATTTCTCTGAAATCATAAAAGATAAACTTAAAAAAGAAGTTTGGAATAAATAAAAATATACATTGTTACTCAAATTCTTACATTTGGATTATAATGCCCCAAATCATGATAAATGGCTTAACTGTGTTTACAAGTGGATCCTGAAAAAATTAAAATCAGGAGTAAGACAGAAAAGCATATCCAGACATCAGATAGATATGATGTTTGGTAACAGGACATATATTTTCTAAAAATCTTCATAAAAATCAGATAGTGACCTTTAAAACTCCATTTTACAGCTGCTCATTTGAGGCGACCCACCTTGTTACAGAACAAAGGAGAGCCACTGTCAGTTTGTCAGGAGACATGAAGGGAGCTGGCCAGGAGGTCCTGAAAGCATTCCCTTCTTCTGTTTATACTAGAATATTGTAACCTATACACAGATAGTTCTGGTTGATTGCATGAATGTTATGGGAGAAAGATTCTGAAATGGTCAATGTATATAAAGGTAGAATACCTAGATTCCTAGGTATAGGGATCCCACACAAATGAAAAAGAAGAAAGGGAAAAAAAAATGGGATCAGGAAATGAGCTCTCTGTCTCCACAGCCTAATGTTACTGACTGTTCTAATTTACTTGGTGAGCTACACAAGAGATATTGGATGCCAGTACAAGGAATATGAATGACTGCTATTAATACTTTATGTAATAATTCAGCATTTCTCCCAATAAAGAATTATTTGACAGAATACAAATCATGATTATCATGGTAGGTGCTTTCTATAGGACTAAAAGGTTTTTGAGGGTATAACACACAGGTAAGAATAAAATATTTCATAACTATAAAATTTTATGTCATACTAAAAATTGAAAGACAATTTGAAAAAGTAAAATTAAAGTTTTCACTCTTAATCACGTTATTTATAAATAGTTACTACTAACATTTTGATATATACTTTTCAATTTTTTTGTCATTACACATGCACACACTATCAGTGAAACGATTTTTTATGGGGGAGCCACATGTGGCAGTGGTCAAGGTTTACTCCTGGTCACTTACTCAGGGATCACTGGCTTACACAGGGATCACTCTTGGTGGGGCTCAGGGGTCCATATATAGTGGCAGAGATCAAACTTGGGTGGCTCTGTGCAAGGCAAGTGTCCCACCCACCGTACTACGGCTCTGGCTCCGTAAAATTCTTTTTCAATCAAGAAAACATGTAGTATAAAGAACAAAATATTAATATTAAAACACTTAAGTATTAAAGTTAATTTACCTTTTTCTTTAAGGTTTCGAAACAACTTTGATGATCCTTTCCAAACTGGAGGTGTTTCTGAGAGCATGTGGTTTAATTCCTATGGCATAAAAATGTCATAACACTGATCTTAACGTTCAATATCATAATACATAATACTAATAGGTAATGTTTATAAAATAAATAAAAATATTTAAAGCGCTACACACAAACAAAAACCATTTCCAGTGAAAAGAAATGGACATGGCTGTATTTATCCTACACCACAGCTAAGGTTCAAAAATGTTTAGGCACGGAATAAACAAAAACATAATAATGAATTTACAGTAACTCAAATAGAACTACTAGGCATCAGATAAGTTTAATGCCTGAAGTACACCTATACGATAATCAAATTAAGATGAAACAGAATCTATTCAGTAAGAAAAGATTAATGCATGCGATCTGCTGCCAAATGGACAGGAGTAAACAGTGTAACGCTGAGTGAAGTCAATCAGGAGAGGGATACATAGACCATGTTCTCTCTCTCAGATGTGGGATATAATGAAACACAGCGAGGAAGCAACAAATGACCCAAAGGAACAGATTTGGAGATGTGATCTATAGATCTAAGCTTGGGCTAGAGAACTTCCCTTGAGGGGTGGGGAGAGAGAATGAGGGGGTCTTTAGTTCATAGATGGAGGGAAGTGGGCACTCTAGTGGTGGGTGTGATGCATGAAATTATCTTTCCGGTATTGCGAACCAGGGTACATCAATAAAACTGGGGAAAACAAAAACAACATGAGTAAGTTTAAGTTCTGGAGTCAGAAAGAATGGGATAGTTTGATGAGCAGGAAAACAGATCTATTTCCTTGTTCACGGTCAGAGGTTGACTTGGCTTCACATGACCTTTCTCTTTTTGAATTTAATTTTTCATTTTGGTCTTAGGAGGCTTTGTGATACTGAAATTAGTCGATAAAGAACTATATTAGAAAGATATAAGACCTATGTTAATAATAAAGAATTCTGATATTATATTAAGAGGACACAGGGGTATGGCTTACTGGGATTATTACACCCCCTCCCCAATTTTTACTTATTTATCAAAAAAGACAGACATCAGTTGTTGATAAATAAAATTTTTTAGAAAATATAAATGATCACAGTTTGGATGGGGGAGGGCACTTTTGGAAAATGTAAAGATTTGAATCATTGCTTAAATGCTTATAATGATTTTTAATTTATTATACGGTCCTCCCATTGTTCATCGATTTGCTCGAGCGGGCCCAGTAACGTCTCCATCGTGAGACTTGTTACTGTGTTTGGCATATCGAATACACCACGGGTAGCTTGCCAGGCTCTGCCGTGCGGGCAAGATACTCTCGGCAGCTTGCCTCCGTCCCTCTCGGAGAGCCTGGCAAGCTACTGAAAAATTTGGTAGTAGAGAAAAATTACTGAAGGGGTTGCTGAGATGAGTGGAAGTAATTTGAAACAAAGTATTAGTTTATAAGGACACTAAATATGATTTCTATTTCCAGATCTAATTCTTTGTACTTAAACTTTGGTTTTCCAAGAATACATACATCACATGAGAACTCAGGGTTTTTATGTTTTGTTTTTCTGTTTTTCGTTTTTTTGGACAAACTGGCAGGCTACCAAATGTAGCCTGCCCACACAGCAGAGTCTGGCAAACTCCCCGTAGCGTACCCAATATGCCAAATACCAGTAACAATGATGGGTCTCATTCTCCTAAAGAGCCCTGAATATAATCTCAGGGCTAGGATGAAGGAGACGTTACTGGGGCCTGCTCTAGGCAATCGACGAATAACAGGATGGTCGTGATTCGTGATTCGTTTTTCATGTTTGTTTTGTTTCTCTAGAAGGGATAGCACAGCCGATAGGGCATTTGCCTTGCACTCGGCCGACCTGGGTTCGATTCCTCCACCCCTCTCAGAGAGCCTGGCAAGCTACGGAGAGTATCCCACCCGCGTGACAAAGCCTGACAAGCTACCCGTGACGTATTCCATATGCCAAATAGTGTTTTGTTTCCATTACATCATCTGAGAATTTTAAGATATGGAGAATCCTGTTAACATCTCAGATCTACTAAGTCATAATCTATATTTTGACAAGACCTACAGGTGATTTTTATGCTTGCTCAAGTTTTAAAGACACTTTAGATAAAGTAAACCCTTCATGAATCAGTTATATCTCTGTAACATTTATAAACCCTCATATTCAATAATCAGCTGAGTTTGCAGGTAAATAGTGAATCTCTGGGATAATAAAGACAAGGAATGCATTCTAAAGGGATTTTTGAGTCTCCGACTCCCATTGATGAAATCTGGCTTTTATTTTCTTAGTAAATTTCTGGGCTGGAGAGATAGCAGGGCTGGAGCGATAGCACAGAGGTAGGGCATTGCCTTGCACGTGGCCAACCCGAGTTCGATTCCTCCGCCCCTCTCCGAGAGCCCGACAAGCTACCGAGAGTATCTCGCCTGCACGGCAGAGCCTGGCAAGCTCCCCGTGACGTATTCGATATGCCAATCACAGTAACAACAAAGTCTCCAATGAATACGTTACTGGGCCCGCTCGAGCAAATCGACGAACAACGGGAGGACAGTGACAGTAGATTTCTATACTGCAGATTACATTCTAGCAAGATGCAAAGGCATGAGGTACCAACTTGGGTAGGAACTGATTATTACATAAACAACAGTAACTCAAAAATACTTTTGCTAGCACTTCAGATTAAAAATTTTTGAAACATTTCATATTATTTATGCTGTATTAAATACTAACAATATTTTTTTAACTGTTTCTATGCGTTCAGTTCCACCTTTTCTAGCTTAAACTCATTAGAGATTATAGCTCTAAAAGTTATAGGTATCTTTTATCAAGTGTCCTATATGCATTTCGCAATTGGGGCATTATACTATCTCATTTAATTAGAAATATAATTATGCCTGTTTTATTAAGACTTAAAAAAATTGAGTAACCTACTGTGCCACACAGTTGGTAAATTATTGGCCAGATTCACACAGACTCTAAAATGTCAGTTAAAATAATAATTCACTGGTGGCAGGAGTGATAGTATAGTGGGTAGGTGTTTGCCTAGCATACAGCCAGCCCAAATTTAATCCCCAGAATCACATATGGACCCTTGTACTCACCAGGAATGATTCCTGGAGCGTACAAAGCCAGGAGTAACCTTTAAGCATAATTTTCCTTCTTCTTGTCCATATAATTTGACAGACTTAATCTTCTGATAACTTTTAGGACTTAAACATTTTTATTTACAATAGGCTTGCTATTCCTACTTAGCTGGGAATCTCTCTTCCTACCCCCAGTGCTCACCATGGTCTTACATTGTGGTGCTGTACAATAAAAGAATTTGACCTTTGTAACTGGTTCCTAGGAGACTACATACTTGAAACATGTGAACTGAAGCCAAGGAGAAAGGAGATTTTATGTAAAGCACATTTTTTTTGCTTTTGGTGTCAGGTTAAAAGTCTCCAAGGAATATATCACTTATGTTTTCTGCTTCATGATTTCAAGTTTTGCATTTAAGTTTTAAATCCATTTTTTTTGTAGGTGGGCACACAAGGAAGTATTCAGGGCTTACTCCTGGCTTTATGCTTTGGATCACTCCTGGTGGGGGTGGGGTGGGGGTGGAGGAGTTTCAGAGGACCACGTGGGTTGCTGGGGATCAAAACTGTGCCAGCTACATGCAAAGCTAGCAGCATACCCACTACACTATCTCTCCAGACTTTTATTCCATCTTGAATAAATTTTTGTGCATGGTATTAGTGGTCTAGTATCATTCTTTGGCATGTGGGAATCTGGTTACTCCAATACTGGTTATTAAAAAGACTGTCTTTCCCCCATTATATATTCTTGGACCCTTGTTTATAAATCAACAGGGTTTGTTTCTGCGTTCTCTAGTCATTCCACAGATCTATGTGTCTGTTTTTATGCTAATTACTTTGTTGCTTTGGTTATCTATAGCCTTAGAGTAGAAGCTCTTTTTCTTGTATAGAGACAGACATTTATCACTAAGAACTTCCCTCTTAGTAATGATTCTTGTACATTCCATACATTTTGGCATGTTATGCTTTTCAGTTTTTGTCTCAAGGTGTTTTCAATTTTTTTCTATCAATTTTCTTGGATTTACCTATTTGGTTATTCAGTAGCATGTTATTTACTTATTTAGGTAGTTTTAAAGTCTTTTTTTTTATTTATTTGACTTTTTTGGGTCACACCTGGCGACACCCAGATTACTCCTGGCTCTGCACTCAAAGATCACTCCCAGCAGTGCTCGGGGCCCATTGGGGATGATGGGGCTTGAACCCAGGTTGCTGTATGCAAGGCAAATGAATGCCCGCCCCAGAGTACTACTGCTGTGGCCCAGTAGCATATTATTTAATCCCCACAATTTTGTAAATTTTCCAGTCATCTTCATCTGACTACTAGTTTTAAACAACAGTGGCAAGAAACGATGCACGGCGTGATTTTGATGGAATGCTTGGTGTATATCGAATTCATCTGAACTAATGTTTCATTTTGTCAATGTTTTATTCTTTTTTGTATGGATGATTATTTGTTACTGTAGGTGGGAGCAATATAGTGCCTTACTAATGTTGTATCACTACTTCTCCCTCTGAACCTCTTAATAATTGCTTATATACTAAGTGTATCTATGTTCAGTTTTTATAAATACAGACTTTGTTGTTTTTCTTTCTTTTTTTTTTAGAAGGGGGACTGGGTTAAGTTGACACCCAGCTGTGCTCAGACTTTACTTCTGGCTCACTCCTAAAAGGGCTTGGGGGTCCATATGTGGTAACTAATGTCAAATCCTGGTGGGCTACATGCAAGACAAGCACTTTATACATGTACCATTTCTTCAGCCCAAATACTTTTAAATGTAGAGTCCACTGTTGGACTGACACTTGTAACATTATATAACAGCATTTTTATATTTTGGTAAGGTCTCTTTGTTTTAAAGTCAATTTTGTCTGATTATTTATTCAAGCTTTATATAGGTTTATACTTGCATGAAACATCTTACTCCAGCTCTTCATTTTCATTTTATGTATCCTTATATCTACTGTGAATTTCTGC